GTCCTTGGTCAAATCATTGCCAAGTCTCGTGGCTTGCCCGCTGAGAAGGGTGAGGAGATGGTGAAGCACATGCGGAGCAGTGGCAGCTACCAGGAGGATGTCTGGTCGTGATTTGGCTTGTTCGACAGTTTCGTCTACCGTTACTAATGCTTCTTGTCATGACATTTCCCTCTTCTCTTTTTCTCTTTTTTTTTCTGACGCCTAGATGATATCTGCATATATACACCGCCTGGTTTGATTCTTATTCCTCGTTTTTAGGCGTGTTTTAATGTATGCATGTTGCTCTGTTTTGTGCTTGAATAGGGTCGGCTCTATGAGAGATGGCTGCCACCATCAGCTTCAGCAGCTATCATTGATTGGGAAGGATAGAGGATGGAGACATCAAAGAGGTGACAAGCGACTGAATGAATGAATTCCAGGATATTCTCGAGTCTATATTGACACAATGAAATTGCACAAAATGGCATTACTCCATCAGCTCGCGTGTTTGCAATTACTTGCAAATAGAGATTTCAATAATAATGTAGAACTTATATCACAATGGACGTTGTTTCTTTTTGAGGTTGTTCAAGTGAACAGCCACGCTCTATGTACCTTAGTGCGGGTCGGCCATAGAGTCGGAGATAAAAAATCAGGAATTGATGGAACCCGCAAGCAATCGTCATTCCCTAACTCGACGTCCGGGCCCGATATGACCCAGGCAGCTAAGGTAGTAGCTCAAGTGAGCTTTTCCATCTTCCTGCATCCCCATTCGAGCCAGCATTCGAGCATCAGTATCATTAACCTGAAAAGGAGCGATGCAGATTATTGCTATATTTTCTGCACTTGATCCAAGGTTGATCTAAATCTTGTCGCTGGCTGCGCTTCTCTCCTACCATCCCCGCAGTTATTGGCAACCACCACAGAAAGCCCAGTCCCGGAACTATTGACAGTCGTGAAGACTGCGAGTCGGTACGATGGCATACGTCGTGCCAATTCATCGGGCGAGCAGCATTCGTCATGCTCTCAAGCTGAATTTCTTGAATTCGGAGGAGGACTGTCTGGTCGTCGCGTTGGTGACCCTCTAGTATCGGGGACTGATGTCGAGCTATCAGATGGATATCGGCTGACAGTCTTTTATTTGCTAATAACAGGAAGTCTAATCGGCTCGAATTCTACTCTCCCACCCCAGATGGGTTGGATCTTGTGGCCTCCTGCGCCATCTATGCGAGGGTGACGATGCTGGCTCGCCTTCCCGCCCCGGCTAATTCCCCTACGGACCATCTATTCGTTGGCACAGACCGCTACACATACTTCACGTTATCCTGGAACAGTTCAGAAAAGCGAGTCTGCACGGAACGGGACTATGTCGACATGTCGGATCCGTCATCACGAGAGTCGCAAACGGGGAACCGATGCTTGATCGACCCAAGCGGACGGTTCATGACCTTGGAGATATATGAAGGTGTTATTGCAGTCATACCGATTATACAACTGCCCAGCAAGAAAAGAGGGAGGGCTGTCGCCTTGCCCTCAGGCCCGGATGCCCCGCGGGTGGGGGAGTTGGGCGAGCCGACAACAGCAAGAATTGAGGAGCTGTTCGTCCGCTCGTCGGCGTTCTTGCATGTGCAAGAAGGGCTCCCACGCCTGGCTCTACTGTACGAGGATAATCAGAAAAAGATCAAACTGAGGGTGAGGGAATTACAGTATCATGCGGCGACCGGAAGCAACAGCACTGCCGACGCTACATTCGGGGAACCGGCGGACTTTACACAAGACCTGGAACTCGGGTCTTCCCACCTGATTCCAGTACCTGCTCCGTTAGGTAACTTCCCATGAACTCTGTTTTGCTCTCGGATGAGTCGTTCTCCATGCTAACATAGACAGGCGGGCTTCTCATCCTCGGGGAAATGTCGATCAAGTACGTCGACGCAGATAATAACGAAATTATATCCCGCCCCTTGGATGAGGCGACCATTTTCGTGGCCTGGGAACAGGTGGATAGCCAGCGGTGGCTGCTTGCTGACGATTATGGGAGGCTCTTCTTTTTAATGTTGGTCTTGGACTCTGACAACCAAGTCGAGAGCTGGAAGCTAGACCATCTGGGCAGCACATCCCGCGCATCCGTCTTAGTATACCTTGGCGGTGGTGTCTTGTTCCTGGGCTCGCATCAGGGAGACTCTCAAGTACTGCGCATCAGCAATGGATCGTTGGAAGTTGTACAAACCCTGTCAAATATCGCGCCGATATTGGACTTTACGATAATGGATCTCGGCAACCGCTCGAGTGAAAGTCAGACCCACGAATTCTCGTCAGGGCAAGCAAGGATTGTCACTGGCTCCGGCGCCTTTGACGATGGAACGCTCAGGAGCGTCCGCAGCGGAGTTGGAATGGAGGAGCTGGGTGTGCTAGGTGACATGGAGCATATCACGGACCTGTGGGGCTTGCAGGTAGGAAGCATCGGCGATTTCTTGAACACACTTTTGGTCACTTTCGTCGACGAGACCAGAGTATTCCGTTTCAGTTCCGATGGCGAGGTCGAAGAGATGGATCAATTTCTTGGGCTGAGCCTTTCAGAAAGCACCCTTCTGGCGGCCAATCTACCCGGTGGGCGAATATTGCAGGTCACTGAGCAGAGGGTGCTCATCGCAGAGGTAGAGGGTGGAATGGTAACTTACGAATGGACTCCACCGAATCAGCTCATTATAACTGCCGCCTCTGCCAACGATGACTCGATCGTTCTTGTTGCAGGCGGAGAGCTTGTGACAGTCTTGGATATTACCAACGAAGTCCAGATCGTAACGCAGAAGGACTTTGGGGCAGATAGTCAGATTTCTGGTGTCACAGTACCCTCATCGCCGACCGGGGTCTGTATTGCCGGTTTTCCTCAGCTGGCAAAAGTCTCGGTACTAAAGCTTCATGATCTGTCCGAGCTTCATGCGACATCAGTGGGCCTGGCTGGCGAAGCTTTTCCTCGTTCGGTTCTCGTGGCGAACGTGCTCACGGACAGCCCGCCTACTCTCTTCGTTTCCATGGCGGATGGCAGTGTGATCACATATGCATTTAACACGAATGACTTCTCGTTGACTGGCATGACCAAGCTAATATTGGGCTCCGAGCAACCTACCTTCAAGAAATTACCGAGAGGCAATGGCTTGTTCAACGTCTTCGCTACATGCGAGAATCCTAGCATGATTTACGGATCAGAAGGGCGGATTATATACTCTGCAGTAAACTCCGAAGGTGCCTCCCGGATATGCCATTTCAACTCGGAGGCCTATCCACAGTCGATAGCAGTCGCAACTTCTCATGACTTGAAAATCGCTCTCGTGGACAAGGAAAGAACAACACAAATCCAAACACTCCCAATCGGGGCAACGGTCCGAAGGGTGGCGTACTCGCCTTCTGAGAAAGCTTTCGGTATTGGTACCATCGAACGGAAACTCGCCGACGGAGCAGAGATCGTCAAAAGCAGATTCGTGCTTGCTGACGAAATATTGTTCCGGCGCCTCGACGCTTTCGAGTTGCGGCCAGAGGAGTTAGTGGAGAGTGTCATCCGTGCGGAGTTCCCGGCGGGCAAAGGCGCAAATGACCGAGATGAGGTCAAGGATCGATTCATCGTTGGGACAGCATACCTGGACGATGAAGGAGACGAGTCGATCCGTGGTCGCATCCTAATCTTTGAGGTTGACAATGGCCGAAAATTGACCCAGGTTGCTGAGCTACCCGTCAAAGGAGCATGCCGAGCATTGGCCATGCTAGGGGACAAAATAGTGGCTGCACTCGTCAAGACAGTAAGCATTCATTCTCTCTTGGTCCACCTCCTTCTGCACTGCCCTACTAACGTTCCACGAAGGTCGTTGTATATAGAGTCATCAACAACAATTTCGGCGCCATGAGACTTGAGAAGCTGGCCAGTTATAGGACCTCGACTGCACCAGTGGATGTAACGGTGACGGGCAATTTGATCGCCGTCTCTGATCTCATGAAGAGCATGTGCCTTGTGGAGTATAAGGAGGGCGAGAACGGCACGCCAGATACGATGACAGAAGTTGCGCGCCACTTTCAGACTGTATGGGCCACCGGTGTTGCCAACATCGCACCAGACACTTTTCTGGAGAGTGACGCTGAAGGTAATTTGATTGTCCTTCATCGGAACACCACTGGTGTTGAGGAGGATGATAAGCGTCGCTTGGAAGTGACGGGTGAGATTTCGCTGGGTGAGATGGTCAACCGCATCAGACCGGTCAACATCCAACAATTGGCTAGTGTGGCTGTCACTCCGCGAGCATTTTTAGGCACTGTGAGTTTCTACCTTGTCTTTGTCGACCAATTCTGCGAGACGACTGACGAATCAATCCCAACAACAGGTGGAAGGTTCTATTTACCTATTTGCTATCATCAATCCTGATCACCAAGACTTCTTGATGCGTCTGCAAGCGACAATTGCAGGAAAAGTCGAATTGGTTGGGAATGTGCCATTCAATGAGTTCCGGGGCTTCCGCAGTATGGTGCGTGAGGCCAAAGAACCGTATCGCTTCGTGGATGGAGAGCTCATTGAGCGATTCCTCACTTGTGAGCCGAGTGTGCAGGAAGAAATCGTCAGTACAGTGGGCAAAATGAGTGTAGACGAGGTAAAAGGGATGATAGAAGCACTCAGAAGGCTGCATTAGATATCTCTTTTGCTTGGTGCATTTCTACGGATCCATCTTAGAATGAGTTCCCCTTGAGGATACGATTGACCAATTGCATGACTTGATGATAGAATAGTGACATTGAATTTTTGAGGACATAGTCGGAGTACGAGTACGTAATCTATAGGCACCTATAAAGACATGAGCCGTGCCCGTCCGTGTCGTCGCTGGTACGTGAACAGAGCCTCAACAACAGAACATGAAGATGTGTCAATTATACAGCGGGTGAAAGCAAGCGGACATTAAGAGGGATAGCAGGAATAAGCCCACGAGCAACGTGACCAGCTTCGAAGTCGACGAACGGCACCGAAAAATGAGGATTACCTCTCACTCCTTCTCTTCCTGTTTCCTCTCATCCTCCGATTCACTCCAATCAAGCAATTCCATGACCTGCTCATCAGACAACTTCTCCGTCCGTTGCTCCGCTTCCCGTTGCAGATCCTTCATAAACTTCTTCTGGCGTTTCCTTGCGTTCTTCCCCCACTCGGGCACACCACTGGCGGTAGCAAAGTCGCCGGTCTCGATCTCATCGTCAGTATTCTCAACCTCGCCTAGCACTTTGCCGCCATCGGTGGCGCCACCACGCAGCGCATTAGCAGACATCTTGGCCTTGTTCTTTCTCGTGGCTTCTCGCTCTGCCTTCTCCTTCTCCAATTGCTTCTTGCGGTCCTTTTCGTGCATCTTGCGGAACCAGGCTTCGATGTAAGGACGGATGAGGACGTAAACGACGACGGAGACGATGACTTTCGTCCAACGCTTGGCGCTGACTTCGACGATTGATGTGTAGAAATTCCTGAAGAAGCGTTTGAAGAGTGTTTCGAGGAAGGTGTAGAGTTGGCCGAAGAAGTCGTTTAGGGCGTCGGATACGACGGAGGAGGATTCGGTGGACGCCATGGTGAATGGCGATGTGATCAACAGTCTTGTCTCTCTCTTGTGAGTTTTGAGAGTGAGGTCTCACAGATGAATAAACTTGAGGAGGACCGGATTAGAGCGGGCAAAGGGGAAAAAAAGGTATCGCAATCCCGAAGAAGCGGGTCGGAGGGGAAGGTGGTGGTACGGAGTAGAAGAGATAAGAACCACTTTCACTGCGGGATTTATTGGCCCCAGAAGCAAGACAAAACTCCAAGGCCTGCTAATCTTAACACAGAGCACATACAATAGAAAGGTCCTGCGATTGAGCAAACGCCTTGGAAGAGGAGTACCTGCAGTCTTGATAGCTCTTCGACGAGGAGCATTCCGTAAAAGGTAATATTCTTTTGCGGGTTAGCGTGATCTACGCCGCAAGCACGTGACAGCAGCCAAACGCGAATGGGTGTCTGAAGCTCCAGGACGCGTCTATCTTTGACGTAGTATATGTTGACACTCTCGTGGGATCAGAGATAAGCGAAAGAGTGTCGTTCTTAACTGTACAAGCATTCGTATAGCGACCGTACGTTCTGGTCACGACAATATGGATCCAACGGAGGAAGTCAGCCTTGAAGAGGTATGCCATACCTAGATCGCGACCTTGGGGTATGCTTCGGTTGCTGATTTCAGTGATCTAGCGTTTGAAATCCGCTCTTTGGCTTTCCATTGGCAAGATTGTTGACGAGGAAACCATCAAGCTCGGCGTCAACGCTACTCCCCAGTTCATTGGAGCTTTGACAGAAATGGTCTGGGCTCAAATTGGTATGTGTATCATGTCAATCTGCTTGTCTGCACCTCAACTCGCTACGGGCGGAAGACACCGTGTTTGATATACATGAACCATGGTGGATCCGAGCTGATGGTGTCTAATTTACAGAAACTGTTAGCCAAGATCTGGAGTTCTTTGCCAAGTAAGTATTCTTCCCTGGTCTTATTGAACGAGCACCATTGTCTTGCAATTTTGCTTCGTGCAGGGATGCTTGAGACTAGGATTTTCCTGAACGCGGGCTGACAAGGTGCCTCCACTGATGCAGGCATGCCGGCCGCTCTACGATCAATGTATCTGATGTGATGTTGCTTGCGCGCCGCAATGAAGGGCTAGAATCAATTCTTCGAGCTTTCGTTAATCAGCAACGAGAAGAGGAATCATGATTTGATGCGTGCAACAGTGCATTCTTATGCACAAGTCTTGCACATACCCCGTCGACAGGCTCGATTCCTATTGATGGGTCAAATAAGCTGCCAGTCAAAGATTCACCAGCGCCAATTGCAAAAAGGTAAAGTATTTTTGAACTGTTTTCGAGTAATCTGATGGCTCAATTACTCATGGTCAGCCTAGCGGATGTATCTGCGCCTGTCATAGTAGGAGCCTGCCAAGGTATCTCCCCCGGTTTCATTATGACGCCACTTCCCCACATCTATGCCCGCATAAGATACTATCGCTTGCAAGGTCACTGGAGTCCAATTTGATAGACGCCACAGCTGCCATTACGGCGTCTGCTTCGTTGCGGGGACTTGAGCTCGAACACTTCCTTGATACCAGAAAGTTTGCCTGTGATCCGTCAGAACGTCTCATGGTAAACAACGGAAGAAGTGTATTAGCGAATCGGCCGCGTCTGCTTTCACCATGATCTGATAGTCCCAATGAGATCCCGGAGCCATGGATGCACCTGACGATTCACAGCATCAATGGTGTAACTGATCAATCGAAGATACAGGATATCTGCCAATCAAATACGCCATCCAATGTACATAACTCATATGAGCCTCTTGAGGTTTTAGCAGATCATGCTTAGGATACCTGATATAATCTAACGTCATTGCAACGTTCTTTGAGAATTGTCCTTGCTTCAACGACAATTTTCACTATATATACTTGTAGAAGTCATCATGGCCCAGCCCCTTATTCGGAAGGATCAGTGAAACCTTCAATGTCGACGCTATTAGATAAGATTGTCAGCAAAGTCTCTGATCGTTCCCGGTGGTCAATATTTAGAACAGATAAGCCTTCAAAGTGCTGAACACTACAATTGACTCTGCGAATACGGTACGAACCAGACTCAAGACAACGCCTACAATGAAGTCGGTTCGCTTCCACGGACCAGGCGATATCCGAATCGAGGAAATTGACGAGCCAACTTGTGGCAAGGGCCAGGTCAAGGTAGGCCAGATTCTGCCTTCAGCAAACGAATTTCGCTGATTTATTGAAACATATAGTTGCGGCTAGCGTTCGTGGGGATATGTGGCAGTGGTGCGTCTGGCCTGCACTGATTCGAGCTTCGCATATGCTAATTCGAAAAGATCTTCATGAGTATAGTGCTGGCCCCGTTCTCATCCTAAAGGAGCTACACAAGATTACAGGGACTTCTTATCTTGTGACATTGGGTCATGAGTTTGCCGGCATCATTGAAGAAGTCGGCGAAAGAGTAACGCATCTATCGCCTGGACAGCGAGCAGTGGTTCGTCCAACGATATTTGACCGACAATGCTGCTCCTGTAAACTCGGCTATGAGTACTGCTGTGAGAATATTGGGTTTATCGGATTATCAGGTAAGACGCGCGCCCGGTCCGGATACATCGGGACCCTGGAACTGAACAGTTGCAGGCTATGGAGGCGGAATGGCGAAGCACACCGTGGCGCCCGCTGAGCACTTTTATCCGCTGCCTGATAGTGTGTCTCTGGAGGCGGCAGCACTGATCGAGCCGCTGGCTGTGGCATGGCATGCCGTCAACCTATCCCGGTTCAAGGGAGGGGATAACGTCATGGTTGTCGGAGGTGGTCCGATTGGGATTGGCATTGTACAAATCCTGAAGCTTCAGGGAGCCAAGAAGATCATGGTTGCCGAACTACTCGAGAACCGCAAGAAGTTCGCCCTCAAGTACGGAGCCACAGACATTATCGACCCTCGCACATGCGATGTACCGGGGAAAGTGCGGGAGTTGACAAATGGTGTGGGCGTGGATGTCATCTTGCCTTGAACGGAGCCATCTCTGCATGCCGTGTCCACGGCACTATCGTGAACATCGCTGTCTGGGAGAAGCAGCCTTCTATACGCGTGAACGAGTTGATGTACCATGAAGTTAACTACACCGGCGCAGCGCTGTATGATGAGAGCGCTTTTCGAAATGTTATCCAAGCACTGAACTACGGTACGTTCACAACCGCCTGAGTTTGAGTCATTCTTGGCTGACACGGAAGCTTTTAAGGTCAATTGAAACCGGAAGGGATGATCACAGCAAAGGTAAAAATGGACGAGGTGGTCGATAGGGGCTTCAGGACGCTTCTTGAGGATCGTGGTGGGCATTGCAAGATCCTGGTCGATGTACAGGCATCATAACTGTATTCCATTACTTTCGCATTCACAACTGTCGCATATGTTTACCCACAATTTTCCCCCTGGATTTGTTGAGACTTCATTCTGTGTACATAATTGAATCATGACGATGTGCTGATGTTCGACACTCGATTTTGGTGGGAGCCTGAGGATGGCTGTGCACTGTGGCTGAGGCCTTGCCGACGTGGCTCAACCTTTATTACCTAATCAACGCGTCAATTTGGGCTGAAAAACTTCCTCTTCCGGATACACTAAAAATATTCAGTAGTTTTTTTCACGTGTAATCAGATGAGAGTGTCGGTTACCTACTTTTTGGTGGAATGGAATCATGGAACCATGAAGGGCACAGCGTTCAGAGACGAACATCGAACCAGGGGACCTTGACTCTTGTGGGCCGGCAAGGCTTAGTCCTCCACAATAAAGACCAATGATGGAACAAGGGTCCAAGTAGTGACATCAACAAGCTACCCTACTAATAATATCGAGATGGGGAGCTTTTTCCCTTGCCGCTCCAGCTTCCAATCACTATCAAGTGCTCGTCGTCATCTGCGGATCCCCATCACGATCTTCTGGATACTCAACGGATGGTGGCCTGTGAGAAGCTTTTATCGCTGGTTCTGGGGTCCATCATCTCCTTGGCACCCAGCAAATGCCTCCACCGATCTTCATGCTGCGACACCTTGTCCCCTGGAACTTATTACAAGTGCAATCTTGCTGCCTTCGGGGGGTTGCATCTTTTCAATCTCTGCACTCTTTTATTCTCCCTGAAGAATCCCATTGCCTGCAGCGCTTTTCTGTGAAGTTCGATTGCATTTACTGGCTGTCTTCTTGAAAATAGCTCTCGCCCGTCGAATTCCATACTTATCATCGACTGTTTATTTACGACCTCTCGCCTAATCGCGAGTCAGAAACCGTCAATATGGGAGCCGGCGGCGTCATTCTCCGCTTTTTCAATCTAGCCATCCGTGTGCTCCAATTCCTCGATGCCGCAGTCATCCTGGGGATCTTCTCATACTTCCTGGCTGTTCAGAACCAGCATCACCAGCCCATTCCAACATGGATGAAGGCCGTGGAGGGTCTTTCCGGCGCGGCAGCCTTGTACGGACTACTGGGATCACTCTTCACCTGCTGCGTGGGAGGGATTGCCTTCTTCGCCTTCCTGGCTATCGTCCTCGATGTGTGCTTCATCGGAGCGATGATCGCCATCGCCGTGATGACCCGTGGCGGAACCCAGTCCTGCTCCGGGAACGTCAATACTCCCGTGGGCTCCGGCGCTCATAATGTCGACAGCGCATCTGGCGTCCGGCTCGGCTACGCATGCATGCTCGAAAAGGTCACTTTTGCGGTCTCGGTTATCGGAATGTAAGTCGGACACCTCCTTCTCTAGCCTATTTGTCAAGCTCTTTAGCCTATTTGTCAAGCTCTTTACTAATCTGTGAACTACTAGTTTCCTCTTCTTGATCTCAATTCTCTTCCAACTCCTCTACGCCCGCCACCACAAGCGCGAGAAGCGTTTCGGCCCTTCCCCGGCAAACAATTACACCTACGGCACCGGCACCCAACGGCGCGGCTTCTGGCGCCGCAACAAGCGTACGCCGGAAACCGCCAGTGCAGACGACATGCTTCCTGGTCACCCGACCCCTCACGACGTGGAAATGGGCGACAACGCCGAGAAGCCCGGCGTCTTCGGTGGTCGCTTCTTCTCGCGCAACAACAATGCTGCGGCTAATGGCGCGCCGAACACGGTGCAGAATGGCTATGGTGGCTCGGCTTATACCGGCAACTATTGATCACAGTAGTCTTCGTGCAATTTCGGTTTCCATTGCGTTGGAGATGCGCGAAAACACGCTTATTATGCGTGGATAATGTATTTGACCAAGCCTCGTTTGCTGAGTAGAGTTGGAATTCAATTCTGCTGGAGGAGATCAGGTCTATGATTGAATGAGCTAGTTGATGATACCATTTCTAATACATGTACACTTTTGCTGTCTCGTAGTTGCTCCGTGGAAGTGGTACGATTAATAATTTGACATTTTTTGGATCATATTACATTCATCTACCTAGAGCAGCGAACGCAGGGCAGATTAAGAATTAACCAATTAAAGGCCCTTGGACAGAAAGTACACGAGAAATAACAAGACCGACACTCAAAAACTGAAACAACCTCTCACATATAGCAACCACAAGACACAAAACTACAATTAAGGATGGTATGTGCATACACCGAAAAACCAAAGGCCGTTGCAAATATTAAAGAAAAAAGGGGAAGACTGATAAAGCCTACATACGCTCGATAACACCGTGTCTGCAGCGCGTGCCGGCGGCAACAGGTCCCATCTGAACAGGTCTGCCCCAGTCGCACTTGGCCCATGTCTGACCGTCGGGCCCGCACAGGATCTGGCCGTGTACGCAAGTCTCCGGGAATCCTTGCGCGGGCGCAGGCTCGAAGGAAGGCTTGGGCTGAGGGGCATGCTCAGCTTCGGGGTTGTCCTGGGGCTTGGGCTTGTACCCAGACTCAGCGGCCGCTTGAGAAGACTGAGGATTATACCCAGAATCAGCAGCGGACTGAGCAGACTCAGGCTTATACCCAGACTGTGGGGCGGATTGAGCAGACTGAGCAGACTGAGGCTTGTACCCAGACTCAGCGGCCGCTTGAGAAGACTGAGAAGACTGAGGCTTATATCCAGAATCAGCAGCGGACTGAGCAGACTGAGGCTTATACTCAGACTGTGAGGCGGATTGAACAGACTCAGGCTTATACCCAGAATCAGCACCGGACTGAGCAGACTCAGGCTTGTACCCAGAGCCTGGGGCGGATTCAGCAGACTGGGATGACTGAGGCTTGTATCCAGACTGCGCGGTGGATTGGGCATACTGAGAAGGCTGAGACTGGTACTCAGTCTGCGGGGCGGATTGAGCAGACTGAGAAGACTGAGCAGACTGAGGCTTGTACCCAGAATCAGCAGCGGACTGAGCATACTGAGAAGGCTGAGGCTGGTACTCAGACTGCGGGGCGGATTGAGCAGACTGAGGCTTATATCCAGAGTTTGTGGCGGCTTGAGATGCTGACTGACTCGGCTGAGGCTTGTACCCAGACTGCGGGGCGGATTGAGCAGACTGAGAAGAGGGAGGCTTGAACCCAGATTCCGGACCGAATTGAGAGGACTGAGGCATGTACCCAGACTCTGGGGGCGCTTGAGATGCAGACTGAGGGTTGTACCCAGAGTCTTGGTTAAACTGACTCTCAGGCTGATACCCAGTCTGTGGGGCAGCTTGGGATGATGATGATTGAGGGCTGTACCCAAACTCTGGGCTGGACTGGGATGCAGACTGAGGCATATACCCAGACTGCGGGCTGCCTTGAGATGGTGACTGAGGGCTGTAGCCAAACTGTGGGTTAGATTGACTCTCAGGCTGATACCCAGTCTGGGGAGTGGCATGAGATGAGGACTGAGGCTGATACCCTGACTGCGGGCCGGCTTGAGACAGTGACTGAGGGCTGTAGCCAGACTGCGGGGTGGCTTGGGATGTGGACTGAGGATTGTACTCAAACTCTGGGTTTGGCTGAATCTCAGGCTGGTACCCTGACTGTGGGATGTCTTGGGATGCAGACTGAGGGTTGTATCCAAACTCCGGAGAAGATTGACTCTCAGGCTTATACCCAGAATTCCCAGTGGACTGGGACGCAGACTGAGGCGTATATCCAGACAGTGGGTTAGATTGGGATGCAGGCTGCGGGTTGTACCCAAGCTCTGGGCTAGATTGACTCTGAGGCATGTACCCAGACTCCGGGGTGGAGTGAGACTTGGGCTGAGAGTTGTACACGGACTGAGGACTGGAGGACTGTGAAGGCTTGGGTCTTTCACGAAGGGGGGCGTGGAGTCGAGCGGGTCTCGCCGAGGGTGTGGCCACAGAGTGGGAACTTGAAGCAGTCGCCGGAGATTGCGAACTTGACGGTTTGGCCACAAAGTGGGAAGTTGAAGATGTGGCTGGAGGTTGGGAAGTTGAAGATGTGGCTGGAGATTGTGAACTTGACGGTTCGGCCACAGAGAGGGAAGTTGAAGATGTGGCTGAAGATTGCGAACTTGACGGTTTGGCCACAGAGTGGGAAGTTGAAGATGTCGCCGTAGATTGGGAACTTGAAGATGTGGCTGGAGATTGGGCAGTTGAAGATGTGGCCGGAGATTGGGCAGTTGAAGATGTGGCCGTAGACTGGGAAGTTGAAGATGTGGCTGGAGATTGGGCACTTGAAGGTGTAGCAGTCGAGGCAACGGCTTGACCGGACGAGGGAGCCTTGGGACTGTTGTTGCTCGAGTCACCGCTGCCCAGGAAAGGGGCAGAGGCCTCGCACTGGTATCCCTTTCCACTCAAGGAGCCCTCGACGGAAGGTCCGGGGAGAGGAAAGTTGACTTCCTGGCCCTCCACTGTCTTGCAGTTGCCGGGTCCGTCGACGTTGGCCTCGAACAAGGGCGGAAGGCTGTCAAAGCCGCCAGCCCGGCGGGAGAAGGCAGGAGACAGGTCGCGGGCGTGCTGACGGGCCTGAGAACCACCCTTGACGGTGACCATAGCACAGTTCATGTACATTTCGCGGTTTCCGATCTTGTTAAACCATGACCAGGCCAGGAGGGCCTCGCCAGACGGGGCGTCCGAGGGAATTTGGAAGTTATACTTGGAGGTGAGGGGGCATCCTCCGAGGATTGAATGGATGACGTTGAAGGTCTTGCCCTTGTCATAAGAGAGAGCAATCTGGCAGGACCCTCCGCCGTGGGTCGCGCTGCCCTGCAGTTCAAGCTCGTATGTTTGGCCGGGCGTATAGTCAGCAACAGATTCAAAGGGATCATTGGCATATCCCTTGCACGGGTAATCAGATCCATCCGTTTTCAGGGGGTTGGTGTAGGAGTAATCCTTTTGATCCGCGTCCGGGTTCAGCGGGCTCCGAATGGGATACGGCTTCGACATCTGCATATGTCCGGAGACGCATGATGCCAAAAGGGCTGAAGCCACTAGAATGCCCTTCATTGCGAGCACAACCCTACGATTATCTGTGGTTGAAATGGAAGATAATTCAAGGCGACTCTGCATTTGTACAGTTAGTAATGTCCGGTCAATAACAACCGTAGGGTCTCAGGGATTTGCACGAGAGACAACGGGGAAAGGCTTCTCCTCAGTGCCAATGGCTCATACTAGCTAGACATAGGAACAAGGAGACTCACCTAAAAATCTTCAGACTGCCACGATTGCCAGAAACAGAGTGAGCTGCAAGGAACAAAGCTGGCAAAGATGAGGTGAAGAAACAGAGGCCAAGAGCCAGCTCCTTATGATCGAGCAGGGACTTCCAGTAGATCAGGAGCAAGTTGACTGAAGATGTCCACGAACTAGACTTTCCTGCTCAGCAACCAGAGAGACAGCCTCACATTTTGGTTTGCTGGTTGCTGAGCAGCCTTTTAAGTCAGTCAACACACGAGCTGGTATGTAACTTTGTAAGACTCCATCGCTCCGGGTTTCAAACTATAGCCATCAAGAATGAACGCTGGATGCCATTGTCGGGTCCACTATGGCGTCCACGAGTGACAGCTCATCACTCTGTTTTGAGGAATGAAGGAATGCGGGAAGTTCAACAGACTGTTTACCAGTAAGCATCGCTGTCGCTATGGCCTTGGATACCTACCTTGTCAATTTCAAACGAGGCAGTATCCAAGCCAAAACCCTTAATCGCCGTGCGATATTTTGACGGCAGAGATGATCGCCGGCTGGTTGTATATGGAGAATGAGGGCCTTCCATGACTTTTATTGTCGTTGACGATCACCTTTTGTTTCTTATTTAGGAATTTGAAGATGAAGTTCTCGATAGATTCAGTTTAGAGGATGTGGCATGAGCTGGTTTCCATGAGATAGAGGAAGAGTTGTGATGGAATAGAGAGGTAGAAGAGAAAGTCACTGTTGATGGCTGCGGGAAGTTGTAGATAGATACACAGCTTGGCAGTGACTAGTTTAGTCTCCTGTTCCTAAGGGCCCGCGGAAGCAAGCATGCGCCCCTGAAAGGCTTAAATTGACCATCAACTCCAGCCCCCTAGCCTAGTACCACTGTCTATTAAGCAGAAACCGGCTTTGGCTTGCGGATCTGCTTCAATCTCGTCCTCTGGACAGATAATCCTGACCACTCGTTTTCTGCTGTTTGCATTTAGACCCATCGTTTATTTTCCTCGGTTCCTTGGCTTCTTCCCTCATTTCTGCCACCGGACCCCGATCGATCAACGATCAAAGATCAAGAATCATCGATCATCGATCGCAAAGAGAAAATGATCGGTCATCAGAGTTAGAACTCGTCAGAAATCCCACCTGTTCCACAGCAAGTCTGGTTGGATGTTGCTGCGGCCTACTGTTTCCCGGCAGCAGAGGATATTAGCTCATGCTCTTCCCTTCCAACATGCCGCAGGTTGCCCTGGTGGCCTGGAATTTGGCCCGCCGCAAGCTTCGATTCGCCACGTCTCGTCGTCACGGTGGATAACTCAATCAGCTTCCGTGGCGAGCCAAAGTCTTTCTTATCCTCTAGCCCAGAGCGGTGGAGGACGCGTTTCCGGTGTGATTGCGACACATTCCTCGGCTGGTCGATCGTTTAAACTGGTGACCGCGCCAACTTTTCCTCCATACCTGCCCTCGAGAGGGTTGTCGCGACCTTCGGAATCTGTTACCATGCCAGCCAGCGCGGTTGCGCCGGACGACACCCTCGGGATCGGAATTATCCCACAAGCAACCAAGTCAAATGACGAGCCATCTCAGGACGTTCCTTCAGACCCAGAATCAGATGACGATGTTCCTGTTGAAGCCGAGGAGCTTCAGGATGCTCTCTCGCGTCCCCCACCTGTGAATAGTAGCTACCTGCCGCTCCCCTGGAGAGGCCGATTAGGTTATGTAAGTCAGGTTAATTCGCGCATTCTTTCGGATGCTGGCCCCTGCGTAGTCATGTTACTTATGGTGTGTAGGCTTGCTTGAATACATATCTACGGAACGCGAACCCCCCAGTGTTCTGCTCTCGGACCTGTCGAATTGCGTCCATTCTCGAAAACCGACACCCACTTGCGGATCCCTCGCAGCCGCCTCATCCGACGAAGAACCGCCCTGATCGGGATCGGACGCCTGATGTTGCCCGCGGACAGGCTTACGTTGAGTCTCTGGGACTCGCCAATGCGCGAGATCTCATTAAGCTTCTGCACTGGAATGACAAATATGGCATCAAATTCATGCGGCTGAGCAGTGAGATGTTCCCTTTCGCCAGCCATAAAGAGTATGGCTATAAACTTGCCCCGTTTGCATCAGAGGTTCTCGCTGAGGTTGGACGTGTGGTTGCCGAACTTGGTCATCGAGTCTCCGTACATCCGGGCCAGTTTACTCAGCTTGGCTCGCCCAGGCTGGAAGTCATTGAGAGTTCGATCCGCGATCTCGAATATCACTCAGAGATGTTGCAGCTCCTTCAGTTGCCCCCGCAGCAAGATCGTGACGCCGTCATGATTCTCCACATGGGTGGTGTATTCGGCGATAAAGAGGCCACACTGGATCGGTTCCGGGAGAATTACAAAGGTCTTTCCCAGGATATCAAGAATCGGCTCGTCCTGGAGAATGACGACGTAAGCTGGTCAGTGCATGATTTGCTGCCCATTTGTGAGGAGCTGAATATACCGCTTGTCCTCGACTTTCATCACCACAACATCGTCTTCGACTCCACCCAAGTGCGCGAGGGTACTTTGGATATCATGGACCTGTTCGATCGGATCAAGGCAACTTGGACACGTAAGAACATCACGCAGAAAATGCATTATTCTGAACCTGTTCCCTCCGCCATCACGAATCGACAGCGGCGAAAGCACAGCACTCGAGTGTCCACGCTCCCACCTTGCGACCCGACCATGGATTTAATGATCGAGGCCAAGGACAAGGAGCAAGCCGTTTTTGAATTGATGAGGCGGTTTAAACTGCCTGGGCATGACCTTTTCAATGATATATTGCCCTACACGCGAGCCGATGAGAACAAACCTTTTAAGCCACCTCGCAAAACCAAGAAGAACGGAGGGTTCGTTGACCTCGAAGCTCAGGTCCCTCCTGCTCCTACCGTTCCCGAGGAAGAAGTAGGCATGGGAGGTCCGGAAAGAAGAGTGTATTGGCCGCCAGGTATGGAAGAGTGGCTTCGGCCGAAGAAGATCATTCGTGTCAAAGTAGGGCAGAGCCCGACAAAACCGAATGCATCGAAGCAGAAGAAGAAGGCAATGACAAATGATGACTCGCCACAAATAAAGGACGAGGATGCTGATGAGGATGATGAGGAGCCAGCGACTCCGAAGCCTAAGACTGCTCGTCCACTCAAACGCACTGCGAGTGTGAAAAAGCTGACAAGTAGGAAACGGAAAGCTTCACCGACTCCGCCGTCTACTCCGTCGGTCTCTGATATCGAGGGTTTAGATCTGGCGGAACCGCCCATTCTTTCTCGTACTGAGACTGCCAATACTCGTCGTAGTCGACGCGCTAAGACCGCGAACAGGGTTAATTACGCCGAGGAGAGCGACTCTGTATGAGAAGATTGCTTCACATTCCGGACGGAACATTGTCAATGACTGCCGGGCCAGTCTTTGTATAATTAAATCACATTCAGTCGCATACATGTATTATAATTGAATATGTGAAACTCACGCCTCGACGGAAATAATAATCATGTTTTGACAAAATTCCATCGTTTTCCATCTTTCTATCTAGTGCATCTGCTCTGCGGGCGATGATGAAATGGTGCGGCCGGGTCCTGTTCCGCTTCTCCACAGCTTCAACTCCAACAAGGCTTGACAGCTTCTAGACTATCTATCTAGTCTCACTTTCTGCATCCCCGTCGTTTCTGTCGCAGTTCATGTCATCTTTAGATCAGCATTTGTTCGCCATGTTCACTTGATCCTTGATCACATTTGCTCGGGAATCACAGCCTGCAGAAGCTTTAATCCGGCGACACCTAAGCACATATTTCGGACAACCTTGCCGCCAACAAAGCTCATCAATTGGGGACACCTCGTTTTTCTACAACCTCGACGTTGATAGTATCAAGCTCTGCTTGTATCCCCAGAATTCAACTCGAACAAGACTCCTTCCATATCGACCCTGGCTCCCAAAATCTATCCTCGCAGTCGTTGGCTAGCGGCCCCGCCGACTTCCCAGTTCAGGCGCCAACCACTCTTTCGGTTTCTCCCCTCGCTCCTTCGTCCCTCGAATCGAGACCGACAGACCAGGCCAGGACGGCTTCTTCGTTTCTTCCGTCTCCTCATCGGCCCTCACGCCACCCGCCGCGCTCAGCTGCGCCTTTGGGGTCTGCGGCACGAAACGATCCCCGCTTTCCGCCACCGCGCACAAGCAAGGGTTTATCGCGCCATCGTTCAGCAGCAAGCTAGACGGGCACGTAGACGAATCTCGGGCAAGAAGGGTATACTTGAGCTTCTGCTTCTTGGGCGGAGGGGACCAGCCAGGCGACTGGGTGCTGGCTCTGCTGGAGGGTCGCAGCTTGTCCCGCGCGTGAAAGGTCTACGAGCCGGAGGACAGGTCCCGGATGCAGCTGCAAGATCCTCGATGTCCCAGTACGAGTCGTCCGCTTCTACATCGTGGGGCGCCGGGAGTGGCGGGCGGCGCAAGAAAGTCTACGAATATCTGAAGGCGGCTAATGAGCTACGACAGACGTATACGGCGCAATGGACAGCGCAGAGGAATAACCAGCGTGATTACAATGAGGATTACTACAATACTCCGGGTGCATTTTCTGATGTGGAAATCACGCGGTCTGGAAATGAGGAGATGGTTCTGTTCCCTAGCTATGCGAGGAGACTTGTGATGGGAAAACGGCCGGAGGTTCAGGCCCGCCAGCGGCGCGATTCGACTTCGACGATTGATGAGTACCGCGGTGTGTCGGACATTCCGGAGCCCGCGTCCGAGTGGGCACGATACGAGGATGAGCATGCAGTTGTGGCTGTTGACGTGCGAGGCTGGGTCTACGCACCTCACCGGGGGCCGATGACCCGGAAACATCGCTTGCTGATTGCGCTGGCCAGGAAGTTGAGCGGGATACCTGCTCCTAACAATACATCGGCCGATGATGGCAACGCCACTGTAGCGGTTGGAACTTCTACGAAAACGGCCGGGGCTAGCGAAGAGGAAATGGTGGATCAAGAGATACAGTCTATTATCAAGAACGCAGAGAAGAGCGCAGATCCCGTCTGGAAGAGCAGTGCTTCCGATGATCGCAGTTCAAGTGCTTCTTCTGAGAAGACCGCGCAACCCTCGCAGTTGAGCAAAGATGAGCTGACAGTTGCGAATGCGCATCTCATGGAGAGACTTCGCCCCTTTCTCACAAATCCAAGGGCCGCAATGCCTGTGACCGTCTTCTTCTATAACGACGAGCAAAGTCAATCGAGAAACATCATGACAGACGAATCGGGCCACTTCAATCTCCGTGCAACGCTGCCGTTTGTACCAACTTACATCCGCGTGTTGGCCTCAGAGGAACTGTCCGCTACAAAAATGATTCAAATCATCGAGCCAACAGGTGTCAGCTTGATCAGTGACATCGACGACACTGTGAAGCATTCTGCCATCACAAATGGCGCGAAGGAGATATTTCGGAACACATTTGTCCGCGAACTGGCCGACCTCAGCGTCGATGGTGTTACTGATTGGTACAACGAGTTAGCCAAGATGGGTGTAGAGATTCACTACGTCTCTAACGCACCATGGCAACTCTACCCGTTGTTGGAACGTTATTTCAAACTGGTTGGACTTCCTCCCGGGTCCTTCCACCTGAAGCAGTACAGCGGCATGCTGCAGGGAATCTTTGAGCCTACAGCAGAAAGGAAGAGAGGATCTCTGGAACAAATACTGCGGGACTTCCCTGAACGCAAATTCATATTGGTCGGCGATAGTGGTGAGGCAGATCTTGAGGTCTATACTGATATTGTCCTGGCGAATCCTGGCAGAATTCTTGGCATCTTTATTCGTGATGTCACCACGTCGGACCGTAAGGATTTCTTTGATAAGTCTGTCGATCATCTAGAAGGCGTCCCTGCCCGAAGTCACAGTACTCCTCAACTTATCGATGACTCAGATGCGACAGCAAAGCGGCCCGCGTTGCCGCCTCGTCCGTCCCGTGGATATCCAGGGCGATATACAGAAGCCGTTAGTATTAATAACGGCGACCTGATCGATCTACGGGACGAACATGAAGAGAAAAACGTATCAGCAGATGCGCCCAAGCCCGCAAGCTTCCGTATGCCGCCCATGAAACCGAGCAAGCCCTCCTCTCTTCGAGCTGTGACAACGAATTCGGAGTCGACAGAAAAGGGAGCTTCTTCTCAAATTCAGGATCTCATCCGGCGCAAACCTGTTCCTCCAGTACCCCCTCGCCGTCAAATCCCAACAGATCAAGAGGAATCTTCGAGCTCCCCTAAAGCATTAGCACAGAGTACCAGTTACGCTAGCGGCGTCCTGAATGCAGTCCAGTCTGTCACAAACTCCCTCCCGGCTGCGACAAAGCAGTTACCGTTCCGACCCAAGACCTCTGACGGCAATGGCGCGGTTGATCAACCATCTGACCCGACGAAGTCGAAGCAAGCCCCTCCGCCTCCACCACCGCGGCGCACATATACAGGAGCTTCGACTGCGACTTCGGATAGCTCCGGTAACTGGCCAGCATCGCAAAAAATACAGTCATACCCAGCTTCGGCTGCTGCCGCTGCGTATCAATTCGCGTCTGAACGTCTCAATTGGGCTGCGTCGCCGGCTGCTTCTCTGCGGTCCAGACCTTCGATTCCATCGTTGAGCCGTTCCAGCACCAATCCTGTGAACAATCAATCAGACTCGTCATCTGTTCCCCCTCCTCCGCTACCTAATAAGAGAGAGGAGCTGTGGCGACGGCGGTGGGCACGGGCTAACGAGCTCCTAGCGGAGCAGGGGGTTGTGTTGGGCAGCTGGCGTGTGGGAAAAGATATGAAAGATGTCAGTGTGTGGCTGGTACAACAGGCCATGAAAGGCATGCAAGAATGATTCCAATACGCAAACTGAACCGAAGACATGAAGTTTCTTTGTATTCTTGGACCGCGATGTACAGTTTTCTCGATGTATATAGCATACGTGATGTATACCCACCATATGATAGATCATGACATGAACAGCGTTCTGACAGTGTACTTCAAACCGAGTGTGATAGAATAATCATCCAGCAGTGATAAAATACCTTCTTTCTGTAAATGGACCAGTAGATCACTGATCTCAGCGCTTCGTGTCTGCCAACATGCCAAGGAGGTGGACTCGTGTCCTGAGCTTCCCAAAAGGGTAACATCCTCGGCTCACGGCTATCACAGGAAAATAACTAATCGTCCCCGCATGATTGGCAGTCTCTTCGCATCCCCCAGTATGCTATCTATGATTTTCTCGCAAACCATTCTCAAATCAGTCCTAGACTAGTATTGACGTGATATTCTTTGAATGATCCTTACTTCTGCACATATATCCGAAGATCTTCCATATCCATAGACCTTCTCCCTCACCATGTCCAAGACCTTCACCCGCGCCGAGGTCGCGAAGCACAACACCGAGGACTCCCTCTGGTGCATCATCGACCACCGAGTCTATGATCTGACCGACTTCCTGGACGCCCACCCAGGTGGCGGCGTCGTCCTCGCCCAAGTCGCCGGCCAAGACGCGACAACAGACTTCTACAATCTCCACCGACAAGAAGTGATCGACAAGTACCGCGACCAGCTCTGCATCGGCACCATCGAGGGCGAGACCCCCGAGGTTATCTCGCCCGAGCCGGGCAGTCTGAGCACCGTTCCCTATGCGGAACCGCTCTGGCTGCGGCCGGAGTTCAAGAACCCCTACTACAATGAGAGTCATCGGCGGTTGCAGCGGGCGATGCGGGAGTTCACGGATCGGTATGTGACGCCTGAGGCGCAGGAGAAGGAGAGGGATGGGACGTATATCAGCCAGGAGTTGATTGATAAGATGGCCGAGGCGAATGTGTTGGCTATGCGGTTGGGTCCTGGGAAGCACTTGCATGGACGGAAGTTGTTGGGGGGTGTGGTCGATGGGAAGGAGTTTGATTACCTGCATGATATGATTGTTGCGCAGGAGCTGGTTCGGAGTAACGCGAGAGGTTGGTCATTTCCTAAGGGTGGAGGGCGATTTGGCTGACGTCTGCAGGCTTCCAGGATGGAAACATGGCCGGGATGGTCATTTCGTTGACGGCTGTCCAGCAGTGGCTGCGCAATGCTCCCCTGCGCGAGAAGGTCACCGAGGAAGTTCTGTCGGGGCGCAAGAAGATGTGCTTGGCTATCACCGAGGCATTTGCTGGCAGTGATGTGGCCGGTCTTAAGACGACGGCAACGAAGACACCTGATGGAAAGCACTACATTGTCAATGGCACCAAGTAGGATCATCCGCCGGATAAGACGCCGTCTCCATGATGCTAATTAACCGACGTTTAGGAAATGGATCACCAACGGCATGTTTGCTGACTACTTTGTCACCGGCTGCCGGACCGAAAAGGGCTTCTCCGTGCTCCTGATTCCTCGCGGTGAAGGCGTCGAGACCAAGCAAATCAAGACCTCTTACTCCACCGCGGCCGCCACGGCATTCGTTCAGTTCGAGAACGTCAAGGTTCCTGTTGAGAACCTGCTGGGAGAAGAACACAAGGGTTTTATCGTGATCATGAGCAACTTCAACCACGAGCGCTTCACTATGGTCTGCGCCGTCATTCGCATGTGCATGACCGTCACCGAAGAGTGCATGAAGTGGTGCAACCAGCGCATCGTCTTCGGAAAGAAGCTCATCGAGCAGCCTGTGATGCGTCAAAAGTACGTTTCTCTTTTTTGCCTTTGCTTGCTTCCGAAAATGATTGTTGCTAACCGCTGATACTAGACTCGCCCGAATGATTTCGCTCTGTGAATCCAACCAGGCCTGGTTGGAATCCATCGCTTACCAGATGTGCAACATGACCTATGCTCAGCAAGCCGCGCACCTCGGCGGTCCTATCGGCCTCCTCAAGTCTCACTCTACGCGCTGCGCGCAGGAAATCGCGGACCACGCCACGAATATCTTCGGCGGTCGTGGAATAACCCAGACCGGGATGGGCAGGGTTATCGAGATGTTCCACCGGACATACAAGTTCGATGCCATCCTCGGTGGCACGGAGGAGATCCTGGCTGATCTCGGCGTGAGACAGGCCATGAAGAAATTTCCCAAGGCGGTGCTGTAGATGTGCCCCTGCCCCCGTGTGGCCTTCTATCGTTCATTCTATTTGTAATTATATATCTTGTTCTTGTTCTCGGATAGCGTTGCCTCTTCTAGATATTGAGCTCCTATACCAGTCAGACTCGACATGCAATCAACCAGATACTGCCGCGCTCCTTGTCTTTCTTTCCTCCTGCTCCTTGGCCTGATACAGGACCCATACTTGTCTCAACACGACGATAGATCCAGAAATAGATCCGCCATTATTTTGAAGAAGTCATGGTAAAGGTCGCGCGAACCAATAGCCGTCAAATCGTCAACGCGTGGATCATTTCGTATTGGAAATTTTATGAGGGCCAGATGATCTAAAAGAGTAGATTCTACCGAGGGACAACTGCTGCTCGTGAAAGATGTGACTCATATCAAAATGACTCGCCTGTCGGGTGTGAGGCATCCGTTTCCTATATACTGAATGCTGAAGCGCGAGTTGACGATATTGCCTGATCAGGAAGGTCAGTCAATTCCGGGGTGGGCCTGAGGCTTCGGTCCGAGATCTCCACAGGATGGGGTGGAGCAGAACGGTGCCACTCGTCGAGTAATTTCCGTCAACTTGAGTAAACAGCTTATGCTTAGCCGCAGGACTCTAATTGTAGCTTACCTATCGAAATGCAGTTGGCGTTTCTTGGCGACGGGCGAGGACATGCTTCGGGCTTGAAAGAATGAGGTATTGTTTTTTGACTGTCCATGTGACATAACTGACGCACCACCGGAGTGTCAAGCTTCGAGGTCCCCTGCGGATGCAACTCTGGCGGGGTTGGGAATGGAATGTTATTCTTAAGCACCAAGGAGCGTCCTTCGTCTTTGTGGGATATGCGCATTTCAATTGTATATGCTTCTTCCTACGGTCGACAAAATGGAACTGCTACATGTCTCTGGTGCAGCATATTACGATTCCTTGCTTGGTCGTCGACCGCAAAACCCGCCCCAGGATTTCACTCGCGTTCTTTATATTCCTCGTCACAATTCAGCAACAGCGCACCTCCCGCTATACGATGTCGCGGAGCAGTATCGCAATGCTGTCAAGGGATGCGTCCTCAACAGCAGCCAGTACGCTGTTCAACTCAGTATGATGGAGAAGCCGCGAGATGATGGGATGAACTGCGAGGTGGCCTATCATGCCAACCTGGACAAAAGCGCGACAGACGAAGCGCCTGTCCGATTGCAAGTGCAGCGGAGATCGTTGTTCAAGAATGGCGAGGCAATAGCGCATGCGTATGTATTCATCTAGGCTGTTTGCAATGACTCCACTGTTCGCTTGTAATGTTGACTGCTGGAATGACTAGGTTGACCCGTCTGCCGCCTCATGACGGATGTCTAATCGCTATCGGCAACAGTCAGAAAGGAACTGACACGTATTGCACGCTCATGGAAGCCTCCTTCCCGATACAACCGAGCATTCGAGGAAAATATAGCATCCCCCATCCTTATTTCACGTTCCTGCTGCCAGGGAAGAACAACGACCAGCGGATAGTCCAATGGCAAGTCCGCCCCAAGGAAGATAGCCTGCGTCGATACACATTAGTTGAAATCGGTGCGGCGTCAGACAGGCCTGACGGCGCGCTGTCAGAGGACAATGTGCGAGAGCCGAAAATTCTAGCAATCTACCATCATATCGGGATCAACGTGTGGTTGCCAAAAGATTTCAGCGAAGGTGTGCTTCTTCTTCCAGACCAAGCAGGGTCGGAACATAACGAGCGGGAGCTGCTGATAGTTGCAAGTCTATTGGCTTTGCTTTGGCAACTGCGGGAGCAAGCGCAAATGAAGCCGCAAAAATTGAAGGGTGCCCACTCTCGACATTCCCAAAACATGTTCCAGAAGGCAATTTCTGTCCTTCATAGGCATTAGCCATTTAAAAGCATCAATTAATTGTTGGATGGTTGAGTGAATCATACCATGCCTGTCATATAATCAGATAATCATGCTGCTGTGTCAATTCGGGTGAATGAGTCTGTAATCAGTCAGAGACCTGTGGAAAGGGAGGGAAGTGAAAAGTTAGTAGATCGCTTACGAAAGTGGTCCAGGAAACGTTCCGATCATCGCCAGGGGCTTGCGCAGCCCTCGCAGCCCAGACCTTCTCTAACAATTCTCGAGGTACTGGATTGCGGAACTCAGATCTTCGCTCAATCTCAGTCAAGCGCGCGATGACATAGTATTGAGAGTGAGGAGAAAGCGCATCCGATCCACCCATAAACAGGGGAAAAACAAGAAGCTCAAGGAGGCAACAATCCGAGGGAATTCTGGCTGTAGCGTCTAAGATCCTCGCCACGCACTCCTGTATTTCATTGCTTCGGGGTTGCTGTAATGGGTCTAACAAACGAAGGATGCGTAGAATGCAAGCGTACTGAAACGCCTCCGCTGTGGACATCCACCGAGGATCAGAGCTGGGATATGTTCTAGCTGTCCTGTCGAACGAGTAGAGCTTGTGCTTTGCAGATTGCAAAGCAACTTGATACTCATCCCATGATAACCAGCCGAGATTGTATTCCTTTGCCTTTTCCAGGGCTGCTCCAATAACCAGGAAAATCTCCCTGGGGCATCCGTTGACTAGCTCGAACGTTTCATCGGTGGCACTGGCGACAGTTTCGCGAATGTCTTGAGAGAAGCACAATCGTTCAGGGTCAGCAAAGGCACGAATGATGTCAAGCCTGAACAAAATTGAATAGTCAGTGGACCATCCCCTAAATCATGGCACAGATTGCAAATACCAAGCCAAATTTCCCAGGAAGAAGACCGCTCGTCGTCGCCGACTATTCAGCCCATCCGCTAATAGTAGCTGTTTGCACACAGACATTGCCCCCGTAATGTGTATGCCATGTGTAGAGATACCCGTCTCAGCAATCTTTAAGCTAGGTCAGAAGTTTTCCGAAGGAGCTGACAATGCAGCTTTCACCAACTTACGTCGTGTAGAAGGAGAATCTGGATTATGGCGAGAACAGCATCTTGCTCGTCCTCATGCAGGAAATTAGGTCCCTGACTCTTCCTGATTTCCTCACTGAGACCGCGTATGGCTCTCAGCCGATACTCGACTGCAGTCTCCTCATATAGAGACATATTTCCTGTAAGCTTGCCAAGATGAGAGGCCGAGAGCCCCAGTATGGCATATAACAAGCCAATTTGTTTCCTCGCCAACGGGAGTATATAAGCTCGGTAAGGATTACTGCTAGTACCACCTATCTCAGCAATTTGATGCGGGCATATGAAGCTCTCATCTGTGCCACTCTGGCGTCAGTGTTTCTGCCCTCCAAAATCCAGCCAATAAGAGCTTACAATGCGATAACAACATCTCCGTCTGGGTGAGATTCAGTATCTTTGGGATGTCGTCTGGCGATTCTGTTGCGCTTCTGCTAGGCTTCTTGGAAGATGGTTGCGTTGTGACACCCTCTGTCCGTCCAGGCGTATCCGAGCCCGGTGTTGCGGTGGTAGAGACTTGCTGCGACTCAGCAACGCTAGATTTAGCTTTGGTGTTCCTTGGAGTCGGCACTCGTGCGCCTTTCCACTTTCCCCGACTAGCGATTCCGCAAAACCGGTACTGGTCGGGGTACCCGCCGCATTCTAAGCCTTTTGACATGCAACGTTGACACTTGGGTCTACCGCGGTCACACTTGCGGCACTTTTCCCGGCATGTCTTGCATGCAGGACCTGCATCGGTACCTAACATCAGAAGTTGTTGGCTATGGTTGCACAGCATAAGATGAATAGATGGTGACAAACCAGCTCGTGGCATTCCGTAGGCGGCGGAGGCACTTCAGAAGGTGTGACTCTTGACTCTCATTGAACAAGGCGAGGTGTCAAGGAAAAAGGGACTTGAATAGTGAAACGACAATTATATCGCCAATCATGTTCGATTGAAAATCAAACATAGAACGAGCAATCGAGGTGTTGGCCTTCTTGTATATTTACCAACTTGACTCAACTTCAGTTGAAGGTGACTTGTTCAGGATCGATAATACTACCACTATCTTCGGCTGAAATCGATAACCGCCACAGAGTTTCAACACTTGTCTTCAAGTAGCTATTCAATGGCTTGTAAGCCAATATCAGCCTCATGTGGTTGCAGCCAGTTGATGCTGCTCCGTAAGCACTTCGAAAACAAATATCGAGCTAGGCAGCATTCGGTAAGGCGTCAGGCCATGGTAGAGCTTCTTTTTATCCTTTTGCACGTGAATGTGGGGTGTTTGCATTATTTGTCTGATTATTGCTTGTCAGCCTTGCTCTACTCCCGTATCTTCGGTCCGTTTGTCGCTCCGGTCATTATTGACGCAGCGAGCTGACGCCTACATCAGTACTTCGCCACTACTATATACACCGGTCCTGCCTTCGTGTAAGACGAACATATTTTCCATTGATACTTTGAGTTTAACAGCTGAGAAAATGACTGAACGCACAAACACGCTCAACTCTGACAATGTATTAGCCCTCGCTGCGAGGGCTCTTCGGAAAGACAATGAGGGTCAGCTTAGCCTCAAAACACCCTACGAGGCTATTGCGCTCATCGGTCATGCTTGTATGAAGGCAGTGGACTTCAGGCTTCTCGGGCTGGGAGAGGAGCACACCATAGGTCTGCGAGAGAGATTTACTTGTGACATGTCAACTTTCGCTGTCGTATCCTTGGACGTATATAGCTAACATACTCGTTCGTAAGCAGAAAGCTCGACTGAAGACCAGACCTTACCCGCAGAGTGGAATGCTAACGATACATATTCTTTTCGCTATGCCCATACTCAATCCTCCATGCAGTTCTTGCTGAAGGTCAGTCGATTGGGGAATAATGCCGTTGTCCTTGCCTTGGCCCTAGGCGATGACAAAACCTCTTCATTTGATCTGCCAGTTAAGGACTACATTTCCGGGTCCGCCCTTCCTATTACTTCCACAGACGACTTGACGAAGACCCTAAGGGATGTGTTCATTTCCGAAGCGCGGCTGAATGACTTGATTGGGCTGTTTAAAATGAACGTGATTCTGAAGCTAGCTCCTGGCTTGTACAAGGAAGGATACGAAGACACCTCTCAAGCCATACGAGAAAGGCGACAAGAAAGGCCACCTCAATATGATCCCTTAAGGGACGATACACTACCTCAGCCCGCACGCCCTTATCCATATGATGATCCCCTGGCAGCAGGTCCTCGTCGACCTGCGCCCCCAGGCGATTTTGCTCCCCCAGGATTTGAAGATGAATATGAGATCTACCGGCCTCCTCGAGGATATCCCCAGGGAAATGGTGGTCGTAATCCCTTGAGTATTGGCGATAGAGATTTGTATCCTGCCGGTCTCGGTCCGAATGATCCTATTCGAGGAGGCGTTGGCCCTGGTCTCGGAGGGGGAGGCAACGGTGGCGGAATGCACCCAACGTTTGACGACCCCTTGTTCGGTGGTCGCCGAGACGGTGGTTATGATCCGCAAGTGCCCCCTGGATCTCGATACGATCCCGTAGGTCCGGGAGACGCCCCATCCGGACGAGGGCGTGGTCCGTTTGGAGGAGGCTCTGGCGGAGGATTTGGAGGATTTGGCGGTGACATCATTTAGGCGCGCGGCTAAGCAGTAAGCCATTTGTAGCTGACAAGGCCGCACAAGACGGGCTCGGGTAATACTCTTTGCTAGATTTACGACAGAATGCGAAATAGCATGATGGAATTAATTCAAAAACAAAGCATCTAAAATTCGCGTGTAATCCAAAATTAATTGTATATAGTATCAATGTAATTGCCCTTCTTGGCGTCAAGCAAGCCAAAGTTGGTCGGGATTTCGAGTTCCTGGAGAATCGTGGAGAGAGGGGTGTGGCTTGGACGAGCCAGAAGTGTGGCGTGGCGCATGCCGACACCTCCTGGCGTCGTTCCAGCACAGCACTGCACAGCACAGCACAGCAATCCCTCCCCTACACCAACACCACCAGGTCGCTTTTCTCCCAACTTCCGTCTCTCATCCATCCCACTGCATCCGATTTTTTCCCCTCGCCCGTTGAAGCTTATATTGTTCTTATTCAATTCTATCTCCTTTCTTTGGTGGATTCTTGCATCATCACAACCGAGAAAAACCCTGGTCAGCCTCACGAGACCGTCCCCTCCCAGTCTCCCGCCCCTCCTCCACATTTGCAGTTGTCTTGAGCTTGTTGTCGCCCAACACAATGGATAATAACATGGAAATTGATCCGGCGCGGTCACCGGAGCCTCATCACCTTTCGCCCACAACCGACCCTGGGTCCATACCTACGCTCGATGGGTGGATTGAAAACCTGATGGCTTGCAAGCAATTAGCGGAAGATGATGTTCGGAGACTTTGTGATCGAGTGCGTCTTTCTTGATACGTGTTGTCTCCGACATCACTGTGATGATGAAATCTAATTGGCGTCTGCGCGTTCCAGGCTAGAGAAGTGTTGCAGGAAGAGTCGAATGTGCAGCCAGTCGTATGTGCTTCCCTCGGCCTATTCTTGCCGTGTCATCCATGCGGATCGCTCGAGTTGTTGACTTGAATCTCTCAGAAATGCCCCGTGACTGTCTGTGGTGATATACATGGTCAATTCCACGACCTAATGGAACTATTCCGCATTGGAGGTCCTAATCCTGACACAAACTACCTCTTCATGGGTATGTGATATTTCACCCTTGATTTGTCCTTTTTGTCTCCTTGCTCCGTGACTCATAACAAACTTGCGTCTCCAGGTGACTATGTCGACCGTGGCTACTACTCTGTAGAGACCGTCACGCTTCTTGTCTGCCTCAAAATCCGTTACCCCCAACGAATCACCATCCTCCGAGGAAACCACGAGTCCCGCCAGATCACACAAGTGTATGGGTTTTATGACGAGTGCTTGCGCAAATACGGCAATGCCAATGTCTGGAAATACTTTACCGATCTTTTCGACTACCTTCCTCTCACCGCTCTCATCGAGAACCAGATCTTCTGCCTGCACGGCGGTCTGAGTCCCTCAATCGATACTCTGGACAACATTCGTTCTCTGGATCGGATCCAGGAAGTTCCTCATGAGGGACCCATGTGTGATCTGCTCTGGAGTGACCCCGACGACCGATGCGGCTGGGGTATCTCTCCCCGTGGTGCTGGTTACACCTTTGGGCAAGATATCTCGGAAGCATTCAATCACAACAACGGCTTGACTCTTGTTGCTCGAGCACATCAATTGGTTATGGAGGGATACAATTGGTCGCAGGATAGAAATGTGGTCACCATTTTTTCGGGTACGGCCCCTTTTTCTCGCTCGTGTTGACGCCTACCACTAACTTGCCGTCCTCAGCCCCCAATTATTGTTACCGCTGTGGTAACCAAGCCGCGATCATGGAAATTGACGAGCATCTGAAATATACATTGTATGTTCCATTGAAAAGCGAAAGACGGATCTTGATTGTTTATCTGTACTAACCAATTGTCTCAAAGCTTACAATTTGATCCTTGCCCACGCGCGGGAGAACCAATGGTCTCGAGACGTACACCTGATTATTTCCTGTGATGTGATTCCAATAGACAGGCTTTTTTCATCGCTACTGACAAGTTGAGCTTCTTATGACCCTTCGAGAGGGCTACTGGGATGCTGGGAGCATACGGAAGGATCCACTTGTCACAACACAATAATTGTATGTCCTTATTTCAGGCCGTGTTGATACCAATTATGAAAATAAAAGACGTTCGCAAGAATACTATCATTCTTCCCTCTAGTCTCTGACCATCAATTCTGCCGCGGTCAGGGCGCTCTTTATTTGCCATCAGTGTTGGTAACAAGTATCTCAGAGAACTTACGTCTGCCATGCTTTACATAGCACCTGGAGATTTTAAAAGCAAACCTGGAGGATGTTAGCTGATCCGAATGGAAGCAACGAAATGATACTCACCCCCATCCAAGTTGACGATTTGTCCGTTAATGTAGGTCCCAGCCTTGCTGCAGAGGTAAAGAACGACACTGCCAATATCGGATTCCCGTCCAACGCGGCCTACACCAAATTATCAGCTCACTCGAGTCCGCAAAGCGCAAACACCGACTCCAAGAAAGCAAGGCTCACCAGCCGGAAACTTCTTCCCCACCTCTTCCTGCTGCATAGACCTCCGATCCTCGTCAAACCTACCGACACTGATCTCATTCGGGAAAACGCCCGGCGCAATGCAATTCACACGAACCCCCAATGGCATAAAGGTATGCGCCCACTCCCTCGTCAGATGTATCAGCGCCGCCTTGCTTGACGAATAGGCAAACTGGCCCTGCGAATGGGTCTTCGTCACCCCCGCCACACTCGCCACATTCAGCACCACGCTCGAATGGCCCGGTGCCGCTTTCGCTCCCTTCACAAGGAGCGGCAGCAGCGCGGCAGTGAGGAAATGGTGCGACCAGACGTTGCCGGCGTACGCGATGCGCCATGCGTCCGCTCCGTCGCGGGTCATCCATCTCGAGACGGCGTCCGGGTCTGTGAAGTCGATGTCGGAGGATGTGGCTTTCGCGCGGGGCTCGCTGGTGACGCCTGCGCTGTTAATGAGGATGTTGATGCCTTTTGATTCGGCCTTGGTGAGCTCGGCTGCGATGCCGCGGATTCCGTCTGTCGTGGAAGTATCTCCCGGGAGTCTGGAGTCAGTATACCCTTCGTCAGCAACAAGCGTCTGGCCCGGGAAGTGCGGAGGATGGGACGGGACGGGACGCACGGTGTGACCTGTCCGTTGAACGAATATTTCTCCCCGATCGTGTCGAGGATCTCCTCCCTGGTACCGATGATGTAGACTCGAGCGCCGTTTGCTGCTAGTGTCTGCGCGGCCATGAGACCGACGCCGTTGCTTGCTCCCGTAACGACGGCCACGTAGCCCTTGACCTCGAAGAGTGTGGCTGCTTCGAGGTCATGGACATTGATGTCTTTGAAGTTGTATCGGGGTGCTGGATCCATCTCGCTACGGATTTTTCGGCACTGCAGATGGATAGATACCAGTATGCTGGGTACATTGAGCAGAACGGGGGTGAATGACACCTTTGTAGGAATGATCGCATGTTGACATCTTTTTGAAGTCATCGCCTCGACGTACTCCATCTCGCTGCTGCCATCAAACAACGCTGCTGGCCGCTGCTGAGAGTGTCATCATAGTGGATTTTGGTTTCAATATAGTACTCGGGTGTCGCAAGCTTGTACCTTATTGATGAGGAGCATGTGGGAAGTGTAGTTGGAGATGAGCGGATGTGTAACTGCGTTGGTTGATAGAAAGAAGTAGAACGGGCGAATGCATAGCATTTTCATTTCATGAAAAAAGCGTTTATGTAAAAGACTGCGAGTCAAGAAAGACTACCGCATTAGGTACAGGCAGAGCACTAATGGACGATTTGATATAGACTTAAACTCGCAGTCCTTCCGCCTTCTTCGCCAGAATCTCTTCAACCTCTTTGGCATGTTTGGAGAAATTGTCCACGAGATCATCCCACATCTTCGGCTCGTGCTCGTGCCTCTTGTCGCTGTTCCAGGCATAGTCTGTGATTGTGAATGGCCGACTGGACTCGAACATGAAGGCAATCGATGCCTCTGAAATCCGCATCACAGGTGGCGGGTTCTCGGTGGCAGCTTTGAATTGCTCGTACGCTACACCATGAGGGACCACTGACCATACAGTTAGCACCTTATGCAAACGACAGAAATATCGCGACGGCTACTCACTTGAACACTCAAAAGAAATGCTTCCGGGATTGAAGGCGTCCGAGCGGCCACCATATTCACCATAGATCAGGCCCATCAGTTCGGAGGCAGCATTGCGGTGATAGTAAGGTGGCCGGTAAGTGTCTATATTTGTTAGCATGCCGACAGCATGTCTTTGTTTGTGGAGAACTGCAACAGCAACTTACGAGACGCTACGTCCCATCGGGGAGAGAAGATCAGCAGATCGGCCAAAGGCGCCGTCAGGTCGCGGGATTTGGCTGTGAGTACACAGAAAATGGATGGATCGATATGATCAACGGAGATTGAGCCGACATTGACAAATTTTGTCAAGTCATACTTGTATGGAACCTATTGATGTAGGGTCAGCTTCGCCTTCTGTACTGAAAACCACGAGGAATCAAACATACATAGTTACCATGCCAGGCAACAACATCAAAAGGACTGTGATTCTGCGTGCTCTTGAAGAATTTCCCTCCAAGCTTGTAAATGATCTCCCAAGGCTCCTGAGAAATCTCATACTTTGCATGGGGAGCAAGAAAATCCCGAGCGTTAGCCAAACCATTTGCTCCGAGCGGTCCTAGTTCGGGCAGCTCAAAGGAAGATCCCCAGACTTCGAGTATATACCCACGAGAAGGGCCGTCAGGAAGCTCAACGCGGAAGCGAATACCACGCTGGATGATCACGATTTCTCCGGGCTGCACAAACAATGGACCAAATTCAGTCTGAATGTCCAGGGCACCCTGCTGAGGAATGATGAGGAATTCACCATCAGAATTCACAAAGGCTTTCTTCTTCATGCTGGTATTGGCCGTATAGACATGAGTAGCGAGGCCTTCGCGAAGGGTCGGGTCTCCCGATCCTGCTACGGTCTTGAGACCGGAGACAAAGTCTACCTCTTCCCCAGTCGGAATCTCAAATGGATGCCATGCTAGCTGAGTTGGAGAGACGCGCACTCGAGGGTTTATCGGCAGGAAATTCGACTCCGTGTCTTTGTTGTCAGGAAGGTCGGTCTGTAGCATTATCAGCACGAGTCCATCGCTCCAAGTGCCGTCAACGTACAAATCCCTGGTGAGCAACCGCCGGACGAGCACGGTACAACCATGCCTTCTTGTTGCAATGCCGTGGGGCAACAAAAGCAGTCGCGGTGATCTGCTCGGCATACAGGCCGAATCTCACATTACGAGGACTGTTCTGGCCCTGTGGAATGGTACCAGGGACAGCTTCGGAGACAAATCTATAGAGATGTCTAAATTAGCAAGTTGGATGGCGACATGTAGCTGCGCACTATACATACGAGTTGCCGAAGCCGGCTTGATACTGTACGAGTCAGTTATCACGAAGAAAGGAACGAACGTAATGAGAACGTACCTGGTAAGGATCATTCCGTCTTGTGTTGAAAGAAGGAATGGTACCGTCCTTTTGAGTTTCTGCCCAGTGAAATATCTTCTGATACTCCTGGGGATCAGATAAGGCGCTTGTAGAGGCCATGCTTGCGGTTCGTAGGTAATGATCAAGTAGTGAGTCCAGAGAAGCTCAATCTTAATTTGCTCCAATAGGTACCAATATCGAAGGGAAACACGAAGCCTCAAATACTCTTTCCACTCTGACGGGTCGACGAACGGCTGAATATAGAGTAAACCTTATAATTCGTCGGACACATCCTCATCCGAATTTCTGAGCACGAAGGAATACGCAAATGATCCTTTGGCTTCTGATGGTGACGACGTCAGCCTGATTGAGGCCAGATCTGACACAAATTCCATACAAATCGGCATGTTGGAGAGGCCTTGCGTTGCCGAAGCCAAGTAGAGTGGAGCTTGGGGAGGGGAATCGTGGGCGGAGCAATGTCCGTCAACTTTCTGCTTTGACCGCATGGTTTGCCAAACCCCACATGAGTAAGCTGTGAGTAGTGCGGAGAGATGATCTTTTCGTGAATAACAGTTGTTCATGGTCGGGATTGAGTCTGTATGGGAATTGCCGAGGAAGGCGTACAGGCGGATTGCGAGGGGGAAAGGAAGGTCGACTGACAACGCTCGGTCACGAACAGCTAGCTTATCTGCATTCTGCACACAAGGATGGCTTGCACCAGGATGGCTGTGCACAGTTGGATTTACCCAACTTTAGTCTCTACTTCGTCTATCTACTTCCTGACCTTCTTATGGTGCATGGTCATTGCAGATCTAGAACTTTCATCAATTAAGGCTGTGTGCCTTGAGGACCCATATCAATTCAGCAGGCTGATTCTGCCTGCTGTCAACGCAAAAACTATTGGGAGGTAAGCTCCGATGCCAGCCTCTCGCAGAACCTTGAGGTGCTCTACTCTTCGCCGAGACGCAAATTGCTCCTCGGTAATCTCCTTACACTCTCCCAGGGGCCCATAGGCGAATCGTCGGTCTTCAGACCACGGAGACATGCCGTTGACGAACCGTATCCAACGCTTCCGCATCTCTTGACCTACTTCATTTGCAGCGGGGTTGAAGGAGAGATCAAGTCCTCCGAAAAGAAACAGGAGGTCGACTGCGTGGTGAGACCGACTGGAAGACTGCCATGGATTTGGTTGGTCAACCACGTATCGGAAAACGTGCTTGTTCGCAGCTTTGAACTTGTCCGCAACCAGCTCAACAGGGAGGGTGTATCGGGTGTCATTGACGAAATCTAGAGCGCCCAGTTTGCAGGCAGTAGGACGGTCATGGACGACCTGGTACATCTTGCGCAGTTTTGTGCCATAGTTCTTGTCGGTCTTGAAAGCCGCAGCAATCGATGCTCCGTCGAAGGTCTCGATTCCGTTTCTCCAAATGACAGACTATAGAAGTCAGACTAGGCGAGAGGCAGCGTAACGGGAGAAGGATGGAGAACATACCTCATATTCAGTATCGCCAATCATGAGTTCCTCGACTTGTTCTGGCTTGTTCTCCCAATCCTGGAATTCGGAATCCTCCTGTATCCACATTGTATTCACATTGCACTCCTTCAACGCGCGAATTAGACAGTCAACAGACGAACGACGCAGCGACTCCTGTCCCGACTCCTGAACCTTGCTTTGGAGTGTGTTGATGAGCGCATTGCCTCTTTCGACCGGTAACGGCGAAGAGAGGTATAGCGACCCGGATGCCAGGACAGCTTTTTGGACAGGAGGGCCGCTAATCAGATGCGCATGAACATAAACCGCTCCTGCGCTCTCTCCAGCAAGAGTGATATTATTCTGGAGTGAGAAAAGACGTTAGCATCAGGCGTCCTTAAGCAGCGTTGGATCACCTACCGGATCACCCCCAAATTCTGCGATGTTCTTCCGAACCCAGTCAATGGCCAACCTTTGGTCCTTTATCGCGAGGTTCTTCTCCTTTCCATCGCCAAAGCTAAAGATATTGAGACGGTAGTTGAAAGAGACGAAAACAAACGGCTGACCCTCGTTGACAGACTCAGCAACGATCCGAGTCGGGTCTATGTGTATTCAGGCATCAGCCGTTGAAGAAAAAGTAGCAATTCAGATATCTTACCGCAGATTTTTGATTGAGCAGAACAAAATGTAACAACTTGAGAACCGCCTAAGGCACAACCGTTAGCACAATCAATGCCTTGGCTTGGTATCCTTGCAAATCTGCCATCGTACCATATATCCAGACGAGAACAGGAAGAGGGCCATTAGTGCTTGACAGAGGAGGACGGGCAATGTCCAGATTTAGACATTCAAACTCATCCTCAGCTTCGGGCTCGATCTCGAAATCCTCCGGGATGCGCAACAAATGGCGCACGTCCACATGAACCTGCGGGCATTTTGGTCTGTTTCAATATCAAGTTTAGTATATCGAATTGTATGTCCATAGATAACGAAAATGGCTTCCTTGAGCTTAGGGACAAGACATACCCGTATTTCGTAGCATCAACAACGCCCCCGTTGAAGCTTTCCACAGGCTGAGCACGCTCGAACCGCGCCGGTATCTGGGCATACTTGATTCCGCGGAATTGGTCAACTATGACACCGTCGAAATCCCTCCGAACACCTGTAAAGAGTGCCTGAAGCCCTTGATGTTGTACTTGTGGAGCTGCCATATTCACAATCACAGAGTCAATCTGGGAGTCAGGGAGGAGGAAGCGTGGAAGCAGAATATGGAGCAGGTAAAGTTCTCGAGGTGTCTGCACTACCCATGGCCCTATTTCCTGTCTGATTCCTCTCCATCCAGTCGGTTGTTATGCTTGCCGAAGCTTGTAGCCCCAATGCTGACGAGCATGCTTGCTGTGGGGCTGCTGCGGGGATATCCACCTGGGTGTTGAAATGCTGTAGCTCGGATGATGAAGTCGGAATATCGGCAGTTGGAAACCACGAAATTAGCTTCTCAGGGTATGATAGTAGAAAGAGATTTGCCTTGAATTCTGAAGCGCAGGTGGAAGCTGTCGGTTGCTGGGGTGAATTGGTGAAAGGTTCTTAGTTCCCAATGGCTCTGATACTAAATAACCACCAAGGAATCATTTCTTCTTTATAATGTGAGATTTTTCTAATTTTGGGAATTATACTATATATACAGTTTTGAGGCTGCTCGAGTATGTCGTCTGTTCGACACACAATCCCTGTATGCGTTTCGCGTTCTTTACAGCCTATCCAGCTGCTTCGACGGGCCGAGTCTCAGCATGCCGTTCTGTAGGTTTCCATATACGGCCACCCAGAAAAAGCAAGATAGGAATAGCAGACACCCCCATCAGCAGACCTATGACCCAAGACATTGTGCCCCAGCCAGCGCTTTCTCGGATGAACCCAGCCAGAAATGGACCGACGATGGACCCAGCTGCAAAAGCAGAATTGAGGATACCGTAAGCAAGTGCCATTGCGCCTCCTTTGCCGAAGACGCCGGGCGACTCTGCTTCTTTCTCCTGAACAACATATGAGGCCTCGACAAAGAGCGGTGGAATCAGCAACGCCAGGCAGAGCCCGATCAGAGCCAGCAGCACACAAAGCACCACTTTTTGGCTCATGGAATTAGTTGTGACAAGTCGGAGAAGCACGAACAATGGGACTGTGGTGAGCAATGCTCCACCAACTACAAAGCGCCGAACTTGGGGAAACTTGTCGTTGATGTACCCGAAGAACGGATCCAGAAGATGAGGCACCGACACTGGAATGAAGATGAGTCCTTGGGCTGTCTGTTTCCACCCGAATGTATCCTGAACGAAAAGAGGAAGAACGCTATCGAGAGATGTCAATGCAACCGACACAATAAAATAAGCCCATAGCGTGACAAGCATTCGGTCTGAGGCCAACAGTGTGGCAACAGCGCCGAAACGTCTCTTGGGAGGCATTTGTTGGTTTGCATCCCCAGTTGCACCGCCTCGCGGCGTCGGGTTCGATGTTGTGTCATGCTCGTTGCGACTGTTACTGTCGCATTCATCAGTCGGGCAAGGAAGAGACGCACGCCCATCCGTAGGTTGCTTCTCCGTTGGATTGTCCACCGGTTCTGTGGAAAACTTTCCAGTGGGAAGCCACTTCAGGGCATCTTTCTTCTCGATCAGGACGAGTCGCAGGAATATGTCTAAGCCAATTATACCGAATGCGAGACCGAAAACAGCGTAGTAGCCTCCGTGCTCATATAAAACACCCCCAAGGAGGGGGCCTGTCATCGTCCCAAGTGTGATGCCCATTGCCGCATATCCCATCGCCTCCCCCAGAGCCTCTTTTTCTATCGTGTCGACTAGCAGGGCTAATCCGACTGTCCAAACAACAGCCGCAGATACCCCTTGAAACAAGCGGCCAGCAATCCAGAGGCCGAGGGTAGTGCCTACACAGAGCAACGCCGTAGAAGCACCCAAGGCGATCAGCCCTAGCAGGAGAGGCCATCGCCTAGACTCTATTCGATCTGCTAAGTAGCCGGAAATAGCTGTATTGAACGAGGACGGTGAGTGAGATTGTCACGATATAGTCCGGTGGCGAAGGATGGTCAAACTCACGGGAAGCTGCCAACAGTGCGGCGCCGTACAGGGCTAATAAGATCGATGTCCATGATTGTTCTGATAAAAAAGTTAAGACCAGAATCACAGGAAGCAAATATCAACACATCTCAAGAGGGCGCATACCATCATCCTCAGATAAGCCGACTCTCTCGTGCAATGCAGTAGGGGTCACTGGAACGATCTATATCGCGTCAAGCTCTTGCACATAAATCATTACACGGTAGAAAACGACAGCTTAAGGCAGAAAGGTCAACTTACAAGCCCATATAGCAGGATGTCCTGACGTGACTGGTTTTAGCATGTTTTCTTTCGAGGTCACCATCCCTTGTTGCCAACTTACAGTGAATGTTGCGAAAGAGACCACAAATATGACGAAGACTTTGGAAGACCTTAGCTCGAGGAGAATCGGTCGCTTAGGTTCCTCCTCATTTTTCGAAAGCAGGCCGCCTAGGACCATAGCGAAGATGGGTATCAGTTTAAGCTATACCGCTGAGATGTCATGCGGGTAGTACTTGAGCAACAGAGGTCACCAAATGAAATTGATGGACACAGAATCCTAGAGCCACCGAACTATCCATGGAGACATACGCCAGAGGCACATAACGAAGAATTCAGAAGAGGTAAATGTTTTGGAGAGGATATGAGGATCGAAAATCTAGACGATGATTCAATTCCCGCTGGCTCGGGCTCCGCGGGCCCCGAGAGTGGATGATCCTCCCGCACTGAGGAATTCAAGATGGCAGATCTGTCGATCACGAAACACAATATTGGGCTATCTGCCGGTATCTATCTACATATAATTGACTCGAAATACACACAATGTGCCTAAGTCAAAACCCAAATAAAAACCGGCGGTGGAATAATACTTATCCCTTGATGACTATATACATCACACTGTACTGTGTCATGACTCGACCTTGGGCTAGAGGGTTCTGAACAAAGCAAGTACCTTTGCAAACTCATCTAGCGACGCTTTGTCAGTGTGGTCGAAGAGAACACTTCTTCGCAAACTTCCCTCGTTGTACAGCCCGTTCACTTGCCCGACATTGGGTGCAGGACCGTAGACTCGTGCCGTGAAGCCAGCTTCTACATCATTCTGGGCAACGGCCGGCCATGGCTTCACGCCATGGCAGAATTTAAAGAAGTCCTCGGCGAAGGTGATTGCAAGTTGCTGCTGGTCTGGCCCCATAAACTCTCGGAAGTTCTGGAACAGGTAGGCTAAGTCAATGATATGACTCGCTCGATCTTTCCAAGGTCCGTCCCATGGGTTCCCTTCGTTGAAGTGATAGACGTATACATTGTTTTTCCAGCCCTTTGCAAACGTCAGAACCGGAGCAAAGAAAGCAATGTCATTTATGTAGTTGAGAATAGCCGGGAAGGCCTCGTCGTCTGTCATGTCCTCTGTGATGTTGTACTTGTTCAAGGTTTGTTGCGAAACATCCGATTTAGATGCAAGTATGGTGTTCAGTGCGGTAACAAACTTGCTTGCACAGTCTTTCTTCGTATGTGACATCAAAAACGCCATGATACTAGCCTGGAAGGAGGGAGAGTCACGGTCAGTAGACTATTTGAAGCGGTTCATGACGACTTACATCCATCTGAGCGTAGCCAATCATTAGATCTTCGGACCACTTCTTTCCGCGGGGAAAGTTAGACCCTTTATCAGCTACCTGCGCATAGGTAACGGCCGAGGACACAATGTCCCCATCAATTGCAGGAACTGCTAGAACAGTTGGAGGGATTTTCGCGACCAAGGCCTCACCCGGTGTTTCCAGAAGAGTTTTGATTCTATCCTCTGAACTGGCATCGGCCAGTCCTAATGCTGCAATGGCTTGCCGGTAGTTCTGCTCATGTAAATCGTAAGGCAAGGGTTGGATGAGTAGACATGTACCACTCATCACAATAGCCCGCTTAAAGAGTTGCTCGTCAGAGTCAAGGTGATACGTTACACACGCTAGCAAAGTTCAGTATGCCTGTAACGTAGTGGAAATCGATGATGAGCCAGACATACCACCTCCAGCGCTCATCCCGGCAAGTGTCACATTATCAGGATCTCCACCGAAATCGGCAATGTGTTTTTGCACCCATCTCATGGCCACTTCTGATCTCTGAGCCCGTTGTTGGCGTTATACCCAGCCCGTCGAAGTTCATCAGAAGTAAGGAAGCCAAATACACCGAGACGATAACTGTTTAGAGTGAGTCCTTGCCCATGTCGCGTCAGGGTAGTGGCCTTACTTCATAGAAACTGCCACTATGGGTAAGTTCTTTTCGACAGATAACTTGACGAACCGTGCGTAATCGAATTGTGGCCAGGAGTTAGCTCCAAGCACCAGCCCTCCGCCGTGAATGAAGAGAAAGACTGGAAGTTTGGAGGTCCCTGTTGTGCCCGCCGGAACGGTGATATTCAGGTTGAGACAGTTCAAGTCCGATTGAGGAAGCTCTTTCTTTGGAAGGATATGCTGAATGTGGCCGAGCTCCAAGTCACACCCGAACGAAGGAGACAAAGCAGTTGGACTAGGATTCCTTGCATTAGTTCACTGACGTGTGGTATATTTCCTGACCACTCTTACCCATCCTTGCTCGCGTCGACGATACTACCTTCACGCTGCTCTATGAGTTCCGCGTCTGCGAATCTGTCGTTGAGAGTAGCGTATCGAATGCCCAGAAACTGACTCACACCGTCGTGACTCTTGCCTCGAACTTCACCCAGATATCTTGTCTGAAGAATGGTGGCCATTGGAGTGAATCACCCTGAGTGCAAGTCTCGAAGACAGCAGATTGATGTGGGGAAATGTAGAAGAGAGGTCAACAACACCCAGAGCCTTGTCTCCCCGTAGGGCAATCCAAGGACTCAATTAGCCTCCCGATTGCTAACTCTCCATACTTCGGTAATAAACTCACCCAGTAATATGCCGGATTTAACTCCATGAGTTTGGACTGTCAAGTTATCAACGAAGCTGAGGGGTAATTCCGAATCATAGGGTTCCTTCAATGACTTCGTTCCCCATTTCGTGGGGGAGTCGTCTTGGGTTCATGCGCGGTAGACTAAATAACTCCGCAGAAGCGAAGAGTTGTGCGAGACATCCTCGAAAGACATCCTTCAAGCCAGGCCAAAGTCGAGTTGTTGACGCTGTGAAATTGAGGACCCAGCGGCCAGAACCTCTGTCGGATATCCTCCATCATCAGGGCCATTGCCCCGCAATTCCCCCACATAAAAATGCCGAGGGTGCCATAGAACGAAGAGATAAAGTTTATGTATCGCTGAGGGGATTTGATTGGAAGATGTGCAGAGTAGTGAGCCAATTCCATTCAATACTAGGTGTACAGGCAGAGAACCAAAATTGTTGTAGTGCAGAGGATGTGGTCACGTCTATTACTCTGGTACCAGCTGAGGTAACGATGCCTCATCTTACGAGGACAGTGTATACCGTATACGAGGAGAAATGGAATATAGGCTCTTCCCAGTTGCGCCTCCACACTACATAGCGATTCCACATCCGCAAGAAGTTCAAGAATTGGGAAGTTTGGCCTCTTCATTATGATCATGATTGAAAATTCATGTTGTAGCCACCAGTCTTAGGATCTTGGACGAATTTGAAATTATCCGTTGACAATCCAAATGGCTTGAGGATGCCGTTTCCGAGCTGCGTGAAGAGTTAGCAGTACTTCAACAGCGTCAGTATGGAAGAGTTGTCGACTCACATCCTTCAGTTTACTCATCATCTCCGCCGTCTCCTTCTCCCGTGCCTGATTTATCCTCCCGGGCAACTCGCGAAGAGCCCTCTGCACAATCCGCTTATCGTCTGCAGGTAGGTTATCCATCCCGGCAAGCACTTTATAGTCCTCTTCGGCGCCTTGTAAATTTCCCCAGCCGCCGAGCTGGCTCTTCGCTCGCGCACGCCTCATAAGCGCCTTTGCCCGAATCCGCATCACGTCGTTCTTTTTCTCGTCCATTCTCTGTAACCGTTTGAGCTCCTCCTCCTCTGCCTCTTCGTTTTCACCGGAAATCTCAACCACGGCGTCTGTCTGTTCTGACGATTGAGGGTCTCGTTTCGTTTGGTATTTATCCAGATTCTGTTGTGGAGACAACGGGATGATGTTTTCCAGACGATCAAGACAGGCAGTTGCGGATTCGACAGATGCCTTCCAGTCTTCCAGCTTCAGGTAGCATGCGGCCATGTTGCTTCGAAGAACGGCAACTTCATAGTTGAGGTAAGTGGGACACGAGGCAAGGGCACGGTCATAGCAGGAAATAGCCTGATCATAGCAGGCAGCCGTAAACAGTTTGTTGGCTTCTGACTTGATCTCGTGGGATTCTTTCAAGAGGCGCTGTTAGGATGGTCGAGATGAGCATCAGCAACTGTTTCTTAGGACTGCAATCAAAACTCACAGCTTCTTCCTCTGCGGGGAACCGCGCATCGTGGAAGACATCCTCGCTCTCGCTATCAGACCCAGGCTCGGATTTTTGTGGATTCTTGTTCAAATTTTCTGTAGTCATGCTGCCTCAAAAGCATTAAAGCGAGTGGAAGCTCCTGAGAACGCCGCTTCGAAGCTTGAGTGGATAGGTACGGAGTAGTTATCGATAATCGGGAAGCCCGTCGGACAACCGGACTCGATGCCGACCGTTCCCCTCGATGATAAAGCGGCACGAAAGTAATTCCCGATTGGGTTACATCCAAGCCGACTGGCACAAGAGTGTGGAGTAGCATTATCTGAGCGTCTTTGAACGACAATTGAAGATCTGCTCGTCCTGTTACTCTACACTATCCCTTTCGTCTGTGAAACGATTACTTCACCATGACCAAAAGCGCATCCGAGTAAGTTCTCAGGTCCAGATTCACTCAATCCCATGCTCATGGAAGTTCCACCCTTCTGACTGCCCCTCTCTAACAGATTTCCCCGCGTGCGGGCATGCCTCTTTGATATGGATGGATTGCTCATTGACTCAGAGGACAAATACACAGAGATCACGAATGCAATCCTCCAGGAGTTCGGAAAGCCACTACTTCCTTGGGAAATCAAGGCTCAATTGCAGGGTCGACCACAGCCTGAGGTGAGTACTACCCCGCATCTTCTGTCCACTCAGCCATTGAGACTCGAAGGTCTTGTCTCAACGCTGTGATGTGCTGTCCTAATTCTCTACTGTATAGGCGAGCAAGATTTTCCACCACTGGGCTCAACTGCCCATCAGCCCCGAGGAATACGGCGCGAAGCAGGCCGCCCTGCAAGCCAGGTACTTCCCCCAGTCACAGCCACTGCCGGGCGTCAGAACTCTCCTGTCCAAGCTTCTCTCCACCCAGAAAACCGACCAGCCAGTCTACATCGCCCTGGCAACATCATCGCACAGCAAGAATTTCAAATTGAAGACCGACCATCTGCAGGATCTGTTTTCTGCGTTTCCTGAGTCTCAGCGTGTACTAGGTGACGATCCTCGAATTGGTAAGGGGAGAGGAAAGCCGCTACCGGATATCTACCTGCTCGCTCTTGAGACGATCAACGACGGCTTGCGGCAGCGAGGGGAACCTGAGATCAGGCCCGAAGAGTGTCTTGTGTTTGAAGATGCGGTTCCTGGTGTCGAGGCAGGACGCCGAGCTGGGATGCGGGTAATCTGGTGTCCTCACCCGGGCCTACTAGGGGCTTACAAGGGCCGAGAAGCGGAGGTACTGGCTGGACTGACGGGTGAACATAAGGAAGAGGAGAAGTCCGTCCCTGAGAAGGAGGCGGAGGAGTTGGCGGCGTGGAGAATTCAAGGCGCTGGTAGACCTGGCGAAATTGACGATGGATGGGGAGAGTTGGTGTCGAATTTGGAAGACTTTCCTTATGAGAAGTACGGTATTTGCCCTGCGTAGCCTTGTGTATTTTCTCTGTTTACAGTTGTCTTCTCTGTTCCATTCTCATATTGTACATGAAGCGATGTGAATATGTCAATAGCAAACCAGCATATCAGCAATGATTGATCAATCAAAGGATCAGTGCAATGATGGGGATAATCCAGTTCAGAGCCATGCATAGCAAAGCCTGTGCACCAAGAAGTACGTGGTGCCAAAACAAGAGGGATTCGAGCGATCAAACGCAGGTAGAAACGGATGGATATCTTCGCCAGCGCCATGTGAGGATATCAAAATGCGGTCATGACAGTGCAGTAATAGTAGGCAACGAGCAAACAGAGGCAATCCCAAACGCCCAATGCCACAAATAATTTAATGTCATCACGTTCCTTTTCCAGAGGGATCAATTCAGCGGAATGAGATTCTGATGTAGTGCACAAGAGCACAACCAAGGAAAACAAGACAGCGTTCGCCTTCAAACAAGGGTATCACATCCTAAGCTGCGAATAGAATTGCTGATGAAGACACACTGAGCTAGACGCGAGTGAGAGATGCATTGCACCAAAGCAGCCAGTAGATGAAAGAAACGAGGTTCATGAAAGATGATAAAGTGATCGCAAGCCCCAGGCGCCTCGCCGGTTCGATGAAAAGCATTGTGATGCAAATGTAATAGACGATGAACGTAAAGCCGAATGCTTTGAAGAAGCAAGAATGACCGGAAGCTGAATCATTCTTTGATCTAACGACGTCTCTTGGTAGGAGGGTAGTCTTCATCAGCGCCAGTTTCGGTTGATCCTCGCTTGCGGCCGCGCATTTGGTTGCTCAGCGGCAGACTATGGTTCGATCCCATGCTTCCCGAAACGACAGGATTCGGGCCGGCCATTGAAGCGGGAGTCGAAGTCGGCTGACGACAAGTTGGCAGTTGAAGGGGGTGTTGAGGCGGTGGCCGCATCTCCATACCCAGGCTTGCTTCCCACAGGTAAGAATCCATTGGTGACATGTGAGAATTCTGAGCGTGAGAATTCGGAGCAGCGGTTGCACTGAACTCAGGAGATAAGCCGAGCTGGTCATATCCTGAGTGTGATCCATAGGGATGACGAGGGTCGCTCAGCGTCTGATCCATGGGGAACATGTCCACTATGTTGTTCATGCTTGGACGAAGTCCACTGGTGTTTGTAGGAGGGAATTGTCCGGCATTGATTGCGCGTTGGATTTGGCCAGTATTGGACACGCCGGGGATAATATTGTTGTATCCGGTATTGGCCACGCCATAGGGCTGTCTTGGATAGGTCATGCCTTGGATGTGACCGTTATTGGGCACACCTTGGTACTGTCCTGTATAGACCATGCCTTGGACGTGTCTGTTATTGTTCATGCCTTGGTTGTGTCCGGTATTGCTCATAACTTGGTTGTGTCCGGTACTGTTCTGGCCTTGCATGGAATAACCCTGCGGGTACTGTCCGCTGTGCGCGTAGCTTGACTGTCCGCGTGCCGCCGAAGCATACGAGGGACCACGCTGACCTGAAGTGTCTTGATCCTGGACAGTGACAGTTTCCTGAGAGTCATTTCCGGCCTCCTCGGCGTCCTCGACTTCATGGGCTTCATCAGCAGAATCTCCGCCGACTGGCGGTTCTGCCTCAGCCTCCGCCTCAGCCTTTCCCTTCGCCTTTCCCTTCGCCTTTCCCTTCGCCTTTCCTTTCCCCTCCGCCTTTGCCTTTGTTGCTGCCTCTTTCTCCGCCGTGACGGCCCTTCCGGTCTTGATATGCCCTCCCTTGGTTTCGTTGACAATAACGTTCGAGCGGCACCGGCCCAGACACTCCAGCGGGGTGTCCACGAATTCGCGGACGTATTTGGCACCGTAGTCTAACATCCGCTTGCAGGTGGACTTGCTGACATGAAAGATCCGGACAATGGCCGCAGCCCTGTCCGGGAAGGAAAGTAGCGCCCCGGTTCTGGCAGGATCTTTCATCCTCTTCTTTTTTTCCTCTTCGTCCTCCTCGTCCTCCTCATTCTCCTTGCGCCCTTTATTTTCCCCTTTCTTCTCCTTTGCCTTTGGAGAGGGCAACGGCATTGTGCGATGATATTCAATCATCACCTCCTATTCAAGTATCAGTAAAGTGTCGAAAGGCATACTGCCACAGAGACTTACAAGCACGTTCCAACAAGCGGCCTCGATCTCCACAGGTTTTCTTCGCATAATCTTCTCCCACACATTTATGGTTTTTTCCTTGTCGTCAACGTCCTTAAGGTTCATCATTGCCCGCAGAAAAGAGTTCACAATCGCGACCTTTTGGGCCTGCGAGACTACCAAATGCGGGTCGCGACCAGGTCCTTTGGGAGAATGGAGCGCACTCATCGCCTCTTCCAAGGACGCGAATCTGGTTTGTATTTCCGGTCTGCTCCACTCGGGGTTCATGAGATCATGAGAGGTCGGTAATCCGGCTATTGTATAGATTTGCGGAAATAGTTTTTCGACGACTGTCGGTTTCTTACGTCTGTCAGCAGCTGAATCAGACGAGGCTTGCTCCGATAAGGCCTGGTGTGCCTCGCTGCTATGATGATCATTGGAAGCGGCCGCGGGGACCACTGATGCATGTGGGCTTTGAGGTGCCTGGCCTTGGGCAGGTCTCGCAGAGTTAAATGGTCGGGGTTGAATTTGCTGCTGCTCGTTTGAAATATCCCGCGCAGGATGTTCCTGGCTTTGGTTAACATGATTGAGAGCCGCAGCGGAGCTCAAAGATCGATGTTGCGAATGTTGCACGGTTGGGGGCCGGTGTGCCTGGTTGTTCGTAGGATGATCGAGAACAGCCGAACCATTTGGTTGTTGGTGGGACTCGTCTTGCATGGATGAAGTAGTAACACCCTGGCTGCCGGAGGGATACGCCAGCTGTGCCTCCTGGCTGTCAGCAGGGGTTCCGTATGCCTTTTCGGCATTGTGAGCTGGATGAGTGGTCATGTTTGCAAACTCCGAACTGGGAACGATGTTATGAATCGATGCGGTGAGAGCAGGGTCAATAAGGTCCTCAAGATTTGCCTCGGGAGGAGTGCTGTCACCCGAATTATTTTGGGACGAGGACTGTGCTTCGGACGTTTCGTCTTTCTCTCCGGATAAGTCTGAATGAATTGGCTCGCTCCTAGCACTGTCGATAAAGATCATTAGGAGTCCACCGTGATGGGAAGGATTGACGAGAACGAGAACATACCAGTTTTGGCCTTGATTGCCATTTCTTCTTCTACCCCCATCCGATTGTTTGGCAAGGGGAGGAGTAGTTTTCTTTGCAGGTTCTTCGACAACTTGAGCGTAAGCTTGAGCGACGGGAGTGCCAGCATCGAGGCTTTCGGATGTGTGGCTCTCGATCATCTCCACGTCGTGATGAGCATCAGATGTGCCACCAGTGCAAGCATTGTCTGTGTCCTTGTGGGTTTCGACATTGGAACTGCCAACACCAATGGACTCGACTGAGACATCGTGGTGCTGAGCGGAGGGGTTGCCATAACTGGGAATGTCGTCCTTGTGTTCGTGGTCTTTATCATTGGAGCTGCCAACACCATGATGCGCAGTTCCTTGTTGAATGTGCTGGACTCTGGGTGTGTTGTTGTGATGCTTGATAGGAGATTCCTCAAGAACAGAATTGATACTAGGAGGAATGGGAGACTGGATGATATTTCCCCAGATATCAGCATCGAGTTGACCCTTGTTGCGAGTCTCAACTGCCCTTTCGAAGATACCAGCGTACTGGGTCTCGTCGCCATGGTCATCAGCTAGACGTTGGATGTTTCCATAGCCACGGGCATTGTGAGTAGGTGTGAAGTTCCGGTATTCGAACAGGACATTTGCTCCATGTTCATGAGAATTTCTGTATGTTCTATCGAATGTCTCCCAGTCAAAGTTGACAGGGACATGAGTGGGCAGTTTGTCAAATGATATGTCGTCTGGATCGAAGAAAGCATTGTCAAAGTGGGATCCTTGCTCCTGCTCACCCTGCAGGCCAGTTTCAGCGTTCTCATGAGGGACCGGCCTAGTGTGACCGGCGTTAGAGGATATTAAGCATAGGCGACGTGCAAAGACTTACGCAAGACCTTCCATAGCCGTAGGAGAGCCTGGCAGAGAGAGCAAAGTACTCTGCATCTCGGTATGATGACCCATAGCCTCAGCAGGAGCACCAGGAAACTGAGGCGACATCCTCGCGACGATTTACTTGACAGTCACAACAACACTCCGAATCTCGCTTGAAATTGCAAGATAGATAGATTTTGAAGCTGTATGAGTGCAAGATAATGATGGAAGAGACTGAGTAAGGACAAAAGGATGCGACTGGCAGGTTTGAGAAGGTATGAGAGAAGAGAGATGGTTGGTAGAGTGGAAGAGAGATGTATAGAAGTGAAAGTTGCATTTGACGAGATGAGACTCGAAGGTAGAGGGAGGGAGGTTGGGGCCAGCAAGCATGAGGTGAATAACAGAGCATCGAAAACCTGAAAGTGAACGGGAGATACCGTTAACAAAGCGGAATATGCCATGTGCTTGGGACCTGCAAACATAGTAGGGTGGGCCGTGTTCCAAAAGTGGAAATAATGATGGCAAGTTTGCAAGTTTGCTGCTCGAAGATGCCCCAGTTCAATGGGACACAATAGGCCTTCGAGGCATCTCGAAGCAAAGCCATACACACCACCCAGCGAGACAATTAATTCCATGGTGGTACGGGCAATGAAGTGTTGACGGCGGCCTAATTGTGCGTCTGATTGAGGCTCTGGAGACAATAGGTCATTGAGGTGCTGCGTTGCGCAACAACGCTATTGTTGAGACGCTCATGCTCTGAGCAGAGGATTGCGCTCATTGAGGACCCGACCAGAAGCAGTGTACAATAGCTGGTGAGACCCCATCAAATTCAGACGCAATGACAACCTCTCAACCAGACTATTGAGCTGTTTAGCAACCTTCAGTCCCTCTATCATTTTGCAAGCAGATCCACGTACCAGTAGCATATTGACTGCGCACTCTCACCCGGCTGACGAACACAACCAGGCTCAGAGCTTGACCTTGAACTCTCATTCCTTGGGAACCATCATTGAGGCCAACCATTTCAACTGACAGTCGTATCTAGGAATGGCATCGACCAGACTTTCAGGCTATTATCGACCTTCTTCGTAGAATGACCCGTCTCGTCCACAGCACTTATATCACGTGAGAAGCGCCTCTGACCAGAAGTCGTTGCTGCTATGGTTCCCATGGGATGCAAAACAGTACTGCTCACCGCGTCTGTACGCCTTATTGTAAGCTCCTTGGACTCTCAGTCAACTCGTGATCATTGCTTACCCTCATGAACCTTCCATTCCCAGTCACATTTTTGCGGTCCCGCAGTATGTGTAGGATTTCGCCATACCCTCATATATCCATCAGTTCCTCCAGCCCAGATCTCATGGGACTCGCCCTGTGCGACAGGTACAACATCGATCTTCATGCGTTGATTTGTGACAGCCCTTCGACCTTCTAGCCAGCCAAGAAGCTGCCCGGTGACTCTGATGTCGAATATTAAGACTCCGTCGCTTTTCCGTTCGGCAATATACAAATATCTTCCGCAGGGACTCCAAAGCAGTTGCGTGACCCCTGCGCCGCCAATGTGGCGATGAGCGTCCGTCTTTGTAATGCTAAAGGTCCCGAGAGACTCTCCAGTCCCATTCGCCCCATACAGACCTATCTGCCTGGAAAATGTACCGGCAGCCAAGATACCATCTCCCACGGGATTGATGGCCATAGCCGGGATGATACCCTTCATCCCGACTCCTCCACCTACCATTTGCTTACGCTTACTGGGTATCGTAGGCATCCATGCGACGGGGCCTTCGCTCCCAGGACGAGATACGTCGAAAAGACATATCAGGCTATCGGAACCAGTGAGAAAGTGCGTGCCGCCCAGGGCATGCGGATACACCATCGAGTGAGGCGTAATGAATGCCTCTGTCGTCGGATGTATGAGAGAGTAAGTCGCCACAGTGGTGGGCACAAGCGCAGACGCGAGTCTAATTGGGTGATCACGGACTGATGAGAGGAACAGAGTGGTGGATGGATCCCGAAGATTGAAGAACGGATAGATGGCAGTGGCGTACGTTGGCTCTGCTGAAGGCAGAACAGAGTAAGGTTCCAGCCGATGCGGTGATGATGTTCCTTCCAGCAAATCCGGAGGCCTGTTTCTGCTCGTTAGTCCAGAAACGTCTCAACCCTTTCAGCATGACCTACAGAATATAGGTTCTGATATGATGATCCGCAGAATCAGTCAAAAGTGAGGTACCATCCGGAGACCTATGCAAGCAATTGTTAGCCAAGGTTTCATTAATCGTGCATTCAGTTAGGTCAGTTCCAGAAACCTACCATTCTGCGCCTTTCACGTAATTTAGAGGTGGATTTATTCTACTGCTCTCTTCTGCTGACATAAAGGAGAGATCCCGAATTCGATTGAGAGATGACTGGACATTGACTCCGATATCCGGTGCATCGTCCACTTGAGTTGAAGCCACGCAGATTGGGCTTTGAACCAAAGAGTCCTTCTCAACCATCTTGCACAGGAAACTTTCAATGTCCACTATATTAAGAGGAGCAGGACTCTGATATATGACTATGATGCCTCAAATTCGGAAGACCGTTCGGAACCATGCAAGAACAAAGAAGAGTTGCAGAAACTTGTCCTCCACGCTTTTCATCAAATCACTTCTAAGAACTGTGGTGACCGTGAGGGAACTATTCACCTTCCTGCAATCACACTGCGCTTTATATAGTCAACTAGACGGAAGTGGATGGGTGTCTCGGCGGCAAGCGCAAATGACAAACAGCCGAGCATCACAGTGATGAGTACAATGGGCAATCAATGGAGCCAACTGGCGAATCTCCTTAAGCTACAGAATGTTCGGTTTGAGTTGAGATAGATCCACATATGTCAATGTTGTGACACCGAGTTAGATAGATGTAACTCGAGTGGCATTGAGGTCGATTCGTGAGGATTCCTGTATGCGATTTTATATGTTTCTGCAGACGCCGAGTGCGATTTCCTGTCTACCTTAGAGAGCTACAGGCTTACAGCGGCCGGAGAAGTTGGACCGTCGGCCCCGGTGTATCTTTCCCCATTAACGTTACCTTACTGTAAATTTCCCACTAGTCCACTCCGGGTGTAGCTCCCCAGGAACTACCTTCCTTGGTAACGCTGATATCTGCAACTGCCAACAGCGCTGCTGCACTTGCAGTTATCTACCCAAACATTTTTGCGCCTCCTGCCCCTGCACTACCTCGACATCCATACGGTTGAAAGAAAGAGCGTTAGGGGAGGTGCGAGTTGATTTTATTTAATTCCATCCTTTACTCCCTGGTCTGAGCCGACGCTCCTTTTCATCATGTTTTCCGCAAAACCTTCAACCGGCCTGTCCATAAACACCAATTCCGCCAATTCACTTTTGTAAGTGCGCCTGTGTCCCAGAGCTCTATTTGGAGCTCCAGCTCTAAGATCTAAGCTACAAATTCATGGATCGCGCGATTCAATTAGGCTAACGACTATTTCCCTCGCGTAGTGGCGGATCTAATGCTCAAACTACCTCGTCTACAGCTACACCAGGGACAACGAGCACGTCGGGGGGTTTGTTTGGAAATTTGGGAGGCGCCAATGCGCAGTCAAAGCCAGCGGGCGGCCTTTTTGGAAACCTTGGGGGCGGGAACACGCAACAATCTTCAACTACTGGGTCAAGTCTGTTCTCCGGCTTAGGTGGACAACAGCAGAATCCTACTAATACTACTGCTGCTGGCGGCGGCCTGTTTGGAGGCTCTACACCGGCCAGCTCGCAACCTGCAACTGGTGGGCTCTTTTCGGGGACTGCAGGCGCGGGCACTACCACGGCCCAGGTTGGAGGTACTGGTGGAGGGTTGTTTGGGTCCACGACACAGGCTCAGTCAAAACCGCTATTTGGCGGTCTGGGGGCTTCTACAACAACTGGGGGTGGCCTCTTGTGAGTAATCTGCGTTGAGTCTTCTTTCCTTTCATCGACTAATCAGCGAGAAATTCAAGTGGTGGCGGCAACCAGACCAACACACAACAACAGCAACAAGCACAGAAGCCCACGCTATCTCTCTTTGGGAATCAAAATGCCGCGCCCCAGCTGTCGACACAACAAACAGCCACAAGCGGAACAGTGGTTCCCGGGGTCAAGGTAGATCTCAGTAACCTCTTGCCGACGACAAAGTACGAGAGTTGCGCCGACGAAATCAGATCGGAGTTGGAGAAATTCGACAACTACGTCCTCCTTCAAATCAAGCTGTGTAACGAGGTCTCCAACATGCTTCCTACAATCGCGGGCCAGGCCGAGACGATTCCAAATGATGTGGATTTCGTTCAAGGCAAACTGGAAACCATTGAGCATGCGCTGGAGAACGACGCTCGCGATATTGATCAACTACGCAGCCTAGTGTCTCGCGATGCGGCCGAGGCACAAGTGGCGTTCCGTGCTATCGATACATTAAAATTACCCCTGCAATATCAATCTGCGGGAGGCGCAGGGTGGTGGTCAGCCCAGGATCAAAAGGGGTCCGATCGCCAGGCGTTGCGATCCACGCGCAAGAATACTCTCGCTCTTCCGGACGACGTCGAGACCGACCCCTCGTCTGCCACTTCCATCAATGGCGTGCCAGTAAACCTTGTCGACTATTTCTCTCAGCGCTCTGACGAGATGGGTACGGTTCTCGAACGATATACCGGCAATTTGAAGGAGATTGAAGACCACCTTCATGGGATTGAGCTTTCACTGAGCCGCCAGATTCAAGAATTCGTGGCTTCACGAAGTCGAGATGGAGCGGCCGCTGGAACCCAGGAATCGAAGCTCAACGATCTTGCAGCGGTGCTTGGAGAGGTGGAGAATGGTATACTTGGCGTTGCGAGTAGGCTCGGTGCGGTCACGGAACAGGTGCAGGAAGTGGTATTGGGTCCGCCGTCGGGAGATGGTAGGCTCAATTAATGGTAAACCTCGAGCGGCATGCATAATATGGTGAGACGCGTATTAATGTAGCGTCAAGCATCTTAGGTCATTTCAGGACCATTTTTGCGTCGTACAACTCGATCGCCTAGGTCTTTATCGCTACTTAGAGGAGTCTTGTATTTCAGCATGAGTATTAGGGCCAGGCGTTGCAAATGAGTGATGACAGGATTGTTC